CCACGTTGCTGGGATTATAGGTGTCTGAATCTAATTCTGAGGAACAAATTTGCTATACTGCTGCCATTCTGGTATATGGTGCTTTGTGCCTTCTCAAAGCAAAGACTTTCACTTTCGCAGTTTTGAGGGCACAAAGCGCAGAGACTTGCTGCTTCTTGTAATTGCCCTCCGGCCATTTTTGCTAGTCTGTTTTTTCTCGGCAATTAAGATCTCCTCAACTCTATTTTTGTAGTCCATAATTTTACTGGAGCTTCCTTTCTGGCCAAACTCACAATGTTTTAAGACATCCCACTGGGTCCTTAGCTGTTGATTCTCTATAACTAAGGTGAAAAGTCTCTGAAAATAAATCATGCCATAGCCTCAACTGCCTTAAAATTTCTTCTGCTGGATTAATTAGTCCACTGCCCTTAATCTCAATCTCAGGCAAAGTCTGAGGACATGAGTAAAATGCAGAAAAACTTTGCCAAACCATAGCATACATCTTCTGAAGTCCATCACCCATGAAGTCTTTCTCAGCAGAAACTTCCTAAGCCTGGTCTTTCCTGGCAGCATTTGTATCAGCCTTCTAGTTTTCTAAACTCTGACCAGAACATTTTAAGGCAGTCAGTGCCACTCTTTCAGGTGATATCTCCAAACCTTTCCCAGCTCTTCCCACAAGCTATTCCCAAAGGCTCTTGAACCACATGGTCCAGGATAGTCACAGCAATGACCCCACCTCTCTGGTACCAAATTTTGTCTTGGTTACTTTCATTGCTGAGACAAAATACCTGATCACCAGAATTAAGGAAGGAAAGGTTTATTTAACAGCTTGTGGAGGTTTCAGTCCATAATTAGTTGACTCTAAAGGCAGGGTGAGGCAGCAGAAGACGCCAAAAGCAGTATGAGTGAAAGTGGGGGAGAGCGAGCCTCTTACTCTCCTTTATAGTGTATGCAGGGCCCCCCATCTGCTAGGGCAGAAGCAGCACTCACACCACCTCCTGTTCCCTCCTCTTGCACAAGCTCAGGGACAAAGTGAGGACCCTGGTCGCCTGCTGAATCACTTCATTAAGCCCTGAACTTCTCAAGTTGTCACAGTGTATCAACCATTACACCATTTGCCCTTCTGAGAAATGTCTAGTCCTTTCAGTTGCTCTGTGTGTATATGTGTGTTTTTGAGATATGATCTCACTGTGCAGTTCAGGCAGCTCTTGAACTCACATTGTAGCCCAGCTTGGTCTCTAACTTGTAGTGATCCTCCTGCTTCAACCTCCTAAGTGCTGGGATCACAGGCATATGCCACCACACTCGGCTAGTTGCTGATTTTTTGATTGGGCCTTTTATTTTGAGGGAGTCTACAGTTTTTTAAAAATTCTTCAGTTATTCTAAATATTAGTACTCTAAGGAGTAGCTGGCAGTTTTTTTCCGATCCTGTAGGTTATTTCTTCACTCTCTTTATAGTTTTTATTGTTTTGCAGAAACTTTAACTTGACATGATTCATGTTTCTTGATTCTTGGTATTATTATGAAATTAGTATTCCGTTCAGACGTCTTTGAGTTTTATAAATTTTTTCTTCTAGCAGATTGTCTCTTCCAATATTTAGATATTTGATCAATTTTGTTTTGATTTTAGTACATGGTGATAGATATGGCTCTAGATTTAATCTTTTGCATGACTATAACCAGTTTTTCCCACACCATTTGTTAGAAAGGCCATCTTACCTCCAACATATATTTTTTGGGTCTTTTGTCAAAGATCAGATAGCTGTCTGGGGATATAGCTCAGTGGCGCAGAGCCTGCCTGGCAAGCACGAGCTTGCTTCCTGGTACAAAAAAAAAAAAAAAAAAGTCAGATGACTAAATGTGCTGGGATTGTTTCTCTGTTCCATTTTACTGCCACATACCTGTTTTTCTGGCAATACCATGCTATTTTTGTCATTACAGCATTGTAGTATAACTTGAAATCTGGGATTATGATGCTTCTTGCATTGATTTTGCTACTCTGGGTCTCTTCTGGTTCTGTATGAATTTTAGGGTTATTTTTTCTAATTCTGTAAGCAGTACTGTTGGTATTTTGATTGGGATTGCATTAAATCTATATATCAGTTTTTGTGGTTTTGGCATTTTGACGTATTGATTCTGCTTATCCAGGAATTGGGGATATCTTTATATTTTCTAATGTTGGTTTTGATCTTTTTCAGGGTACTGTAGTTTTCATTACACTATTACAAAAGTGTTTTAGTTCCTTTGTTAGGTTAATTCGTAAGTGTTTGATTTTACTTGAAGCTATTATGAATGGTAAGTGCCTGCCTGGCAAGTACAAGATTCTGAGTTAAATTCCTGGTACAAAAAAGGTAACTTGAAGCAGTATTGCATATAAGAGATATTTCCTGGATTGAACTCAGAACTTTGTGCTTGCCAGGCAGGTGCTTTTGCCACAGAGCTATGTCCCCAGCCCTTCATGTAAGAGATTTATAAAGTGGTTAGAATATTATTAAATGAAGTCTGAGATTACTTTATATGTTTTCTTTCAGTTTTTTTCATCTCACAGTTCAGTGTCTTTCCAAACTGTAAGGAAGTTCAAGGTGATTCAAACAAAACTGGAAAAAAAAGGACTGAGGGCTTAGCTTAGCGGCATAGGGCAAGCACAAGGTCATGAGTTCAGTCCCCCGTAGGGACCAAAAAGAGAAAAAAACCTGAAAAAACAAAAGAACGAAACAATTTGAAACATTTATTACTGAGCAACTGCTTATATATGTGAATGTATAATCGGAATGTTTGTATATACAAGCACACACACACACACATTTTTTTTTTTTTACATAAATGGAAACTTGAAGAAGCATTTTGTAAAAGCTAGGTGTGGTGGTACATACCTATAATCCCAGCACTCAGGAGGCTGAGGCAGGAGGATTACTGCAAGTTTAAGGCCAGCCTGAACTGCATAGAGTGTTCAGGACCAGCCTGAATTACAAAGTGAGACTCTTGTCTTTAAAAAAAAAAAAAAAAAAAAAGCATTTTGTGAAGATACTTCCATTGTTATTTCTACAGCCTTTAAAAATTATCCCTGTGTGGCCTGTCATTTGTTAAACAACAGTACTGTGATCTAGTTTACTTTAGAGCAAGTCATATAGGTGGTTGTAGTGTCAGCCATGATGCATCCTCTCATTTCCACAGAGTTTTGTTTTCCTATGTGGGTATTTTACATTCGTACAAAGCCTGAGTACTGAGTTTATTTGATCATTTTTGTATCTCTCTGTACTATGGTATGTCCAGAAAAGACTAAGTCTTACCCCTTATGGAGAGCATATTTCTCTGCATGACACTTTTTGATGCATGTTTTTACCTTTTTGTGGAATAGATACAAAAATGATAAATAGCAGTTACATAGCTTAATGAGAGAAAATAAGGCAAACAATGCTTGAGACCATTGCCCAGGAGACTTCGTCAGCTCCCCCAGGCCTGTGTGCCCTGTTCTTTGCATGACTGCTTCCTTCACAAAGGATTCTCTGGCCAGACTTTAGTAATAATCGTGTCCTTGCAATGCTTTGTCATTTTATGGCTCAAATGTTTATCTTTCACACACTTTGGTTAATCCTGCCTGTTTTAAAATCTTTAGTACATCATTTAGTTCCTCCCTCATCCCTTTCTTTTTCTTAAACTTGTCTGATGAAAAATCCAGTCCTTTGGACATACAGCATTTTCCTCAGTTTGGATTTTATTGCTTAATTGTGCTTGTGGGACATATTTCTCCGTGTTCCCTAAAAAGTGCTAACTGGATTTCCAAGTGTAATAAGAATAGTGTTTATACCTTTGGTCGGGTCCTTAAGTGTCGCGCTCTTTTATTGGGGGCAAACATAATGGGGAGTTGTTTCCTTTTCAGTTATTAGTGCTCAGTACCTAGTTCTGTTGTTACTGAGGATTATGCTGATGTTTAATTATTTCATTTTTACTTACTAGTTGTATTAAAGAGCCACTTCCCATTATTTACATTTGGTTGTCCAGTGGTATCTGATCCACATTTTAAGGATAACTATATTAACTTGGCTAAGTGAATAACACACGGGATAGACTTAATTTTGAACAGAGCCTCTTAGGGAGTTTGATAAATCTGGGGAAATTAATCAGTTTATTTGGGGGATACTTGGTGTGTATTCTGAACTAAGCACAATCCTAGCTGTTGAGGTAAAATGAATAGATGAATGCGATAGTCCAACTAACCCAAGGGTGATGATGATAAGAGCCTTGGAAAGATGTTTCAGGAGACCCAATTTAGAACAGTGGGTCAGGGAAGGCTTTGATGAAGAAGTATTACACTTGAGTTAGGAAAGGTAAGTAGAAATTAGTCGAAAAAATAGAGAATGGAACGATTCAATGAGGGTAGACATTATATATAATCTCCTTTTGCAGAGAGCAACTTAGTTTATTGAAAGACTTAAAGGAGGGAGAAGGCCAATGTAGCTCTAACATTGTGAGCTACAGGAAAAGGCTTCCTTTAAAGACAGATAGGAAGACCTTGTCCAAAAATAAAAAGCTCAGTGGACTGGAGATGTAACTCAGTGCCACGGTCCTGGGTTCAGTTCACAGGCCTGCTAAATAATAAAGAAAAAGGCAGATGGGGAACTGGATATGGTGGCTTTGTCTGTAATCCCAGCTGTTTCGTGCGATGAGATGGGAGGATTGCAGGTTCAAGGCACACCTGGGCAGTTTAGCAAGCCTGTGTCAAAAAAGGGGTAGGATGGGAAGGCAGACAAGAGTCTAATGACGTGGTACAGTCTTAGAAGTAGTGTTAAATATTTTGAGGTTTATTTTAGATTCGATATAGAAAATTTTACGTCTAGGCTTATGCTAGATTCTGAGCCTAATAACTCTAGGATGAGTATTCTGATTGGGTTCAAAGAATAATTCCCATATATTATAAGTCTTACATAACTATCCCAGATGCCATTTTTATAGCTGATGTATAGGTAAAGTTAGAGGGTTGAAAAGAATTCTGGAAGTTAATCTTCTGGCTGTGTTCAAAGGTGTCTGGAGAAGCCAATGAGACTCAGATTGCAGAAGCACTGAAGCGGTACAGTGAACGGGCGTTTTTTGTACGAGAAGCTCTGTTTCACCTTTTTAGTTTGACTCATGTGATGGAGAAAACAAAGCCAGAAATTTTAAAGGTAAGAATAAGAAACTGGTTGTTTAAACTTTGAAATTCTCTCCCTAGTAGATAATAATTGTATAAGAAAATTTGCATTTAATCTTTGAGTTTTATTTATAAATGAGAGACAAACTGTGATTTCAATTATTAGTTTAAATGATAGAGTTGCATAGTGTTTTTGAGGTTTTAAAATAATCTCATTAAAAAATATTAATGCTTCCAGTACATACTTAATTACCTAAAATCAGGGATCATCAAGTTATTTTATCACCAACTATAGTGGAAAATGCGAGTATAACTGGAATCCATACATTGCAGAGTGTGCTAACCCTGTATTGTTTTCCACTTAGATTCTTTTTAGAAATACAGTGTTAGAATTCTATAAGGTACTTTTCCATGCCATTTTGGAACTTTCTGTGCTTTTTTTTTTGGTGTTGAGAATTGAATGCAGGATGTTAACAATTGCCAGGCAGGTTAAGCGCTTATGCTGCTGAGCTACATCCACAGCCCCCTTCTGTGCTTTTGTAATTAACAGTTTTTTGAGTTTGTTTTTTTGGCCTTGAGCCACTTTGTAACCCAGGTTGGTCTCAAACTTGCAATGATTGTCCTGTCTCAGCCTCCCAAGTGTTGGGATTACAGGCATGTGCCACCATCCCCAGCTGTAAGAAGGGATTCTTAATTTCGTTGATTGCTTAGGGCAGTGTTTATCAAAATGTGGCCTGTGGACCACTAGAATATTGCTATTTTATTTTTGAATATTGCTTATTTTAAAAACATATTTATGCCACTCCGATCCCAGCTACTCAAGGTGAGGCAGAATGTCTTAGTTCCTATTCTTGCTGGGCCACAATACCCAACACCTACAAGTTAAAGGAGGTACAGTTTATTGTGGTGCACAGTTTGTAGAAGTTTTAGTCACTGGTTGGGTAGTTTCAAGTCAGGACAGCATGGCAGAGGGGTGTCCCAGAGGAGAAACAGTTCAAGGCAGAGCATGCAGGAAGAAGAGAGGGAGATCTGGGGAAGAGTGAGGGAGAAATTAAAGGAGTTCCTTCTTTTTTTGGTACTAGTGATCGACTCACGACCTCACATTTGCCAGGCAGGCACTTGTGCCACTGAGCTGAACCCCTGCCCCCTACAATGAGGGAGAAATAAGAACCATGCCTACAATGATCTACTGCGGCCCACCAGGTCTTACTTCCCTGTCACACCCAGCTGCAAACCCATCCGTTGATCTACCCAGTGATGAGTGCTGCGATCCCATGATCCAGTCACCTCCCAGAAGCTCCACCTATGGGTGTGTGAGGTTTTGGGGGACATTGTAGATATAAACCGTAATACAGGAGGATCACAAGTTTGAGTACAACCTGGACAATTTAATGAGAACCTGTCAATAAATAAATAAGACCAGGGCTAGAATGTAACTAAGTATGCTGCCCTGTGTTAACTGTGTCTCCTCCCCCCAAAATTGTGAGCCCCACTTGGGGGATAGGAATCTGCATTTGAATAAGCTCCCAAGATGATTCTTATGCACACTGAGTTTTGGGAGCTGGTAAGTATGGGACTATATTATATTTAATACTTTATTTAATGGGTACAACAGTTTGACGGGAGAGATTTTAACTTCTACAGATTTGAAGCTGAGCATCAGTGTGGTTGGGTAAGAATAAGTCAGTGGCAGAGCCAGAATTAACTAGATTTCCTAAATAGCTTACATTTTGAGAATGGGTGCTTGAATGGGAACCAGTAACATTTCATCCCTAAGCCGGGGATTTAGTTCAGTGGCATAAGCACCTGTCTGGCAAGTGTGAGGTCATGAGTTCAATCCCTGGTACCAAAAAAAAAAACAAAAAAATTGACATTTCATCCCTAAGCACTGTCCCCAATACCTGCCTCTATGTATATCAGGGGGTATTGATGCTTGGTAAATGCATCATTTTTTGGGAGGCAGGAGTAGGGGTTGTTTTCTTTGGACTGGAACCACAATGGACTAGATCTGTATTCCTGATTTGAAGTATCTGTCCCTTCATGCAGAGAATGATTCAGAAATTAAAGAATATAGACAATTCTTATAAGGAGTTTTGGTGTAAAAGTTAGCAAAGAAAAAAGGTGACTAAGGAAATTGGATTAAAAAGAGAGTTTATGGGCTGGGGATTTAGCTCAGCGGCATAAGCGCCTGCCTTGCAAGCAGGCTGTCGTGAGTTCGATCCCTGGTACCGATAAAAAAGAAAAAGACCAAAAAAAAAAAAAAAAAACAAAAAAAAAAAAAAAGAGAGTTTATGTTTTGTTTTTTTTTTAAGCTGGGAGAAAAACGGCTTATTTATATGCTGATATGAATGGCCCACTATGGAATAAAAAAGTGTTGTAGGAGTTAAAGGAGAATCCAGCTAATGCCCTTGAATAGAAGGGAATGTAAAAGGAGGGCTCAAGCCTGCAGGTGCAGGTCTGTGGCAGAGCACTTGCCTAGTGCCCCCGAGACTCTGCGTTCAATCGTGGCATTGTGAAAAGAGGGCAACTCAAGAGGGGCCCCGAGAAGCTTATGTATGGGAAGGTCCTGCAGCAGTGTGTCTTGGCTACTTTTCTCTTGTTGCTGAAACAAAATACCTGACACTAAAATTAGGGAAGGAAAGGTTTATTTGTCTTACCTTTTTTTTTTTGAGGTTTCAGTTCACATTCAGCTGGCTCAAAGATAGGGTGGTAGGGCTGGGGGCAATTGTTCATGGCAGCCACAAACAACAAGAGCAAAAAGGGCAAAAAAAGCGAGGAAACACACCTTCTCTCCCTTATATTGTGTGCTGGCTCTGACCCTGGGTGGCTCACATCATCAATTCCAGCAAACCAATCACAAATGCTAGATTCAGCTGCCTCCATGACTGCATAAGGGTTGGGGAGGCCTTCCAGACGCAAACCATAACAGGTGACATATGGCCCTTTCTGTGGCACTAAGGAGCTGGTACGTGAAGTGGTAAGGATTTGAAGTGCCCTCTTGCTTCTTTTCATTTCCTTAGGGTTGTTGAAAGTGAGGTCTTCAGCAGATAATGAGAAATAGTAAGGATTTGGGGAAGATGAGGAGGAGACACAGTGGAGGCCATGGAGAGGTGAATGACTTCAGTTGCCCCTAACTTCAGTAGTGTTCTGAAGGAAAGGAAGATTGGGAATTGAAAGTGAAATTTGTTACAGGTTTACCCTCTTCAAGTCAGTGAAAATTTATTACTCACTGGTGGGTCCACATAAAGGCACTCTACCAGGTTTTCGGAATACAAAAATGGGCACTGTGTAGAAAAGATCTATTCATTAATTGTGCTTATTTGTAACTGCTATTATGTTAGTTTCCTTGTGCATGAGGATACAAGAGTTACTAGAGATAGCTTCTTTTTTTTTCCCTGTACCAGGGATCAAACTCACAACCTTGCCAGGCAGGCACTTTGCCGCTGAGCTGTATCTCCGGCCCACTTGAGACATCTTTAAATTATTATAGATCAGAGCTTGGTGTGATGACACATGCCTCTAGTCCCAGCACTCAGCAGCCTGAGGTAGAAGGACTACTGAGAGTTTAAGGCCAGCATAGGCTATCTAGAGAGTTCAAGGCCAGCCTGGACTGCATAGTGAGACCCTGTGTCAAAAATAAAAGAGAAACAAAGAAAAATTGTAGCTTGACAGAATAATGTTGGTCTATGAAGATGGGTTATATTTATGAGGTGAGTTAAGAAGACTTTTTTTTTCCAGCTTGTGGTTACTGGGATGAGAAATCACCCTATGAATTTACCAGTGCAACTGGCTGCAAGCGCCTGCGTATTTAACTTAACTAAGCAGGATCTTGCTGCAGGAATGCCTGTCCGACTGCTGGCTGATGTGACCCATTTGCTGCTCAAAGCTATGGAACATTTTCCCAATCACCAGCAGGTAAGCACATATGAATATGTAACATAGTAAATAGTCCTTCTAGGAGCAGGGGCATAGTGGTGCTTGCCTGTAATCCCAGCACATGGGAGACTGAGGCAAGAGGATTTTTGTGTTTGAGGCCACCCTGGACTACATAGCAAGACTTGGTCTCTGTTTCTCTCTGCTTCTCTGTCTGTCTCTCTCCCCCCAAAATGAGTCATTCATGGTTTTCCTTTTACCTCTATACAGTTAAACTTAATAGTCTAAAGATGAACTGATTGTGGTAGTGCATGCCTGTAGTCCCAGCATCCTGAGGCAACAGGATTGCAAATTTGGACACAGCTTGGACAGTTTAATAAGATCCTGTCTTGAAAGAAAAAAAAAGAGCTATGGTTGTAGTTGAATGGAGTCCCAGGTGGTAACAATCCCCAATACTGAAAAACACGTTGTGTGTATATTACAGTTTTGAGGGCTAAGGAAGCAGGATGTAGCTCAGTGGCAAAGCGTATGTGCAAGGCCCTGGGTTTGATCCCCACTACCCCTACCCCACAAGGACAGCTTGAGCATCCCCAGTGCAAAAACCCAAAGTCAAAAGTACTTTGAAAACCAGAAGTTTTGACACCTGATTCTCTAAAACTGTTGGATTTTGGGCTTTTCAAATTAGGGATTGTCAATTGGTAAAGTTGATGCAAATGTTCCAAAATCTGAAAAACTGACATCTGAACTATCTTTGAGCAATCTTTTTGGATAGAAGCTCTTCAACCTACAATGTTGAGCGCACCGGAGAAGCATTGAGAGCAATTGAAAATTAAGAAAGCTTCCTTAAAGATGCATGTCTGCCTTGAGGTGGATTGTAAAGGAAAATTAGTTTCCATATAAAGGAGAAGGAATGGGCTTTCTGCAGAGACTAGTTAGGATAGCTTTATTTGCTCTTTTATTTTTATGGATCCAGTACAGATTACTACTTATTTGCAAAAGAAATGAGGAGAAAGATGGCAGAGGGGGCAGGGTACCTCCTTCCCTACCCATCTTCCAGATAACTTTGCCTATTTCAGGTGGGGTAAGTGGATCGTGAAGCATAGCCTGTCCTATCATCTTGGCTCCCTGTGCTGAATATAAAACTTTTGTGAAACCTTCTTCATTAGGTATACTTGCTTTCATTGGGATTTTGTACTATTTTGTTTTTCTCTGCCATTCCTTCTTTTTTTTTTTGTCTTTTTCCTTTTTATCGGTACCAGGGATCAAACTCACGACAGCCTGCTTGCACGGCAGGCACTTATGCCGCTGAGCTAAATCCCCAGCCCCACATTCCTTCTATTATTATAATCTCCACTCATCTTCTGTGAAGCAAGTAGAATATTGATTTTATGTGTTTTACTATTTCTTGGCTAGCTTTTTTCTTGTCTTTTAGAAACAGGATTTCATTATGCAGTTCAGGCTGACTTTGAATTCATATTGTAGCCCAGGGTGGCCTTGAATTTGCATCAATCCTCTTGCCTCAACCTCCTGAGTGCTGGGATTACAGGCATGCACCACCACACCTGGTCTTCACTAGCTTTATGTTTCCCATTAATCTGTGTTTTTTTTCCTATGATTGAGCACCTTTATTTTAGGTCTTTTCTAGATAAGCTTCCAACAGAATCTGGAAATCTCTTTAAAATATTAAAAAGCAATTTTCCAAGCTAAAAAGCTAATAAATACGTAATATGACATTTTTTGAAGTCATGTAAAAGTTACGATTTTGCCAGGGATTTAGCTCAGCAGCATAAGGTCTATGTGGCAAGGGAAAGGTCTTAAGTTCAATCCCTGGTAACAAAATAAATAAGTAAATAAATAAAATAAAAGTTATGGTTTTGATTCATAAGAATACAGTAACCTGAATGGCTCTTCCATTATAATGATGTACTTTCTCTTTTCTTTTTGCAGTGCTAGGGACTGAACCTACTTTTACTGGTCGGTGAATGATCCATATTTTTATTTACGCTTATTTGATTGTACTGATCTAAAATTATTTTTTACTTTGTTCTGTCTATGGAGTAGCTAACTTTACTGTATTTTTTCTGGGTCTTCTTTGCTTCCCAATTAGCCTGCTCTGCTGATGGGGTAGCCTACTATCTTCTTTTCTGTAAAAACTATCACTTTAAAAATTTTTTCAAAATATTTTTGGTTTTCTTGAGGCAAGGTCTCATTATATAGTTCAGGCTGGCCTTGAACTCACTGTGTAGTCCAAGCTGGCTTCAAACTTGTAGCAATGATCCTGCCTCAGCTTTCTGAATGCTGAGATTACGGGTGCATGCTAACACACCCAGCAACTTTTACTTTAATAATGAAAAAAAAAAAAAAACCCAAGACTTTATTTCAAGGCCAAAATGTAGCCTACTTGCTCTTTAAGTTCTTAAATTACAGTTGATTATCTTTAATTTTTTTTTTATTTTTTATTTTTTATTTTTTTTGAGACAGGGTCTCGCTATGCAGTTCAGGCAGTCCTTGAGCTCACTTTGTAGCCCAGGCTGGTCTCAAACTGGCAATGATCCTCCTGCCTCAGCCTCCCAAGTGCTGGGATTATAGGCATGAGCCACCACGCCCGGCCAGACTCAGATGATCTTTAAATCAGGCTGGCTAAAATTCCTTGATGGTGTGTCACTAGGCAGTGGGTATATTCAGTAGTAGAACACTTACTTAAGGTCCTCAGTTCAATTTCTCTAAGGGGAGGGGAGATAACAGTGATATTTTATTTAGATTTCCTCCCTTCTTTTTCTTTAGTTACAGAAGAATTGCCTCCTTTCACTTTGCAGTGACCGAATCCTTCAGGATGTTCCATTCAACAGGCAAGTGATAATTCTAAAACTTAAAATTTGAAATTTCAGAAATTTGTCTCAAGTCATTTCTTACCAGTTACAATAATCTTTGACTGACTGGGTGGAATGGCACAGGCCTGTAATCCCAGCACACGGGAGGCTGAGGCAGAAGGATCGCCCAAAGTTTGAGGCCACCCTGGGCCGAGTAATAAATTTGAGGACATCCTGAACTACATGTTAAGATCCTGTTACAAAAACAAACAAAGAAAACATGAATCAGATATCCTTGTGTAAGGTTGCTTTAAAGGATGCTAAATCTACTCTGTTGAATGTAATGCTTTGGCCTTCTTAATACCCAGTTGATCCATTTTCATAGCTATTTGCTTGAGAATGTACATTGGTTGGGCTGGGGATTTAGCTCAGTGGCATAAGCCTGCCTTGCAAGTGTGTGGTCGTGAGTTAGATCCCCGGTACCGATTAAAAAAAAAAAAAAAAAAAAAAGAATGTACATTGGTTATAGAAGTGCAGACCCTAGGCTGCGGTCAGTCGACCCAAAGGGCCATCATGCCATTTAGGGCCACTTGCCTTGGCCTCAGTTGCCACAGCCATCTCAGGGCCTCCAGCTGCTGTTGGAGTCTGAGAAGCAATCACAGAATGAGAGAACTGGGACTGAGGCACGGGAAAAGGGTGAGACTGAACAGTACTCACTATTGTGCGTGCAGAGTTTCAAGGCCAAGGAAGCTGTAGCCCTGGGGCCCCATGACTGTGGCAGGACTGAGGAGACCAGGGAGAAGGTGGCCATCTTCCACCCCTGCTTCCAGCAGAATAGGCAAAAGTCCTGGGTTACCTCTTGGCCATGGCTTGGCCATGACTTCTGGCCAGAAATCCATGAAAACTGTGGCACAAATGAGTAGGAGAAGAAAGAAGTGCCTGCTCATGGGTCGGCATTGGAGATAACTTACGGAATATGAAGCCTTAGCAAAGTTGTGTCCTAGTCTCATGAAGTGCGTTAAATTATTTCTGTGCAAGACATAGTAGATCTTTTTTTTTTTTTTTTTTTTTTTTTTTGAGACAGAGTCTTGCTATGCAGTTCAGGCTGGCCTTGAACTCACTGTGTGGGCCAGGCTGGTTTCACACTTGCAACGATCCTCCTGCCTCAGCCTCCTGAGTACTGGGATTACAGGCATGTGCCACTACAACCTGACAATCCCTTTGCCTTTTGAAGAGTGGTTTATCTAGCTTCTTTGTACAAATGTAGTCAAAGTTTTTTTTTATTTTTTACCTCACATTTCTGAGAAATGTAATAAGTATATATTGTCTGTTGGCCTTTTAGCTTAAGCAACATATACTGTGTATCAGTGTTGAATTTTTCTTTCTTAGATCTGATAGGGAATAGAAAAAACAGCAATTCTTTGGGAAAGAAAGGCGACAAATACAAGTTTGTCCCTTGCATTGTCTTGAAGGTCCAGGCCTTCTATGGAAAAGTAGTAAATAGTTGTTTGTAACTTGTAGGAAATGGCAGCCAGCCTTGACAAAGTGTCAGAACACTGAATATTGTACCGGTATTGTTGCTTTGGTTGTACTTAATTTATCTTAATCTAAATTACTAAATAGCAGGACTCAAGAATTTGTTGTATTATTATTTGTTATGGTGAGAATCATTTAGAAGTAAAGACACTGTCATAAAAAAGAATTTATATTGATTATAGTTTACAGAATACCCACACTGTATTGTGTTCTGTGATCATTATTATCCCTACTCAAAAAATGAAGAAATTGCCAGGCATTGAACCACACTCCTATAATTGCAATCTTTAGGAAGCTGAGACAGAAGGATCATGATCATGAGTTTAAGGCCAGCCAGGGCTACATATGGAGACCCTTTCTCAAAAAAAAACAAAACAAAACCAAAACACACACACACACACACACACACACACACACACACAGAATGGAGTAATATAGCAATTCAGTGTTTTGCTCGTGATTTTGTGACTAGTAAAACTCCAGCTTTCTGTTTTTAGATTTAGTGTTCATTTCTTTGTACCATACCTCTTCTTATATCATTATTTGGTATTGGCTTATGGAAGAGACTTTTTAAGTGGAGGTTAAAAAGTAGCCATATAGCTATTCCATTAAGTTTTTTTTTTTTTTTTGTCTTTTTCATTTTTATCGGTACCGGGGATCGAACTCACGACCGCCTGCTTGCAAGGCAGGTGCTTATGCCACTGAGCTAAACCCCCAGCCCCCTTCATTAAGTTTAAAGGGTGTGCCTTGTGTAAGGGGTGTTATGATTTGGGAACTATAAAGACGATTTAGTAGCTGGACATGGTGGCGCATGCCTGTAATCCCAGCACTTGGAAGGCTGAGGTAGGAGGATCACTGTGAATTCAAGGCCAGCCTAAGCTGTATAAGCGAGTTCAAGGCCAGCACCACATGTGAGACCTGTCTCTAAACAAAAACCAAAATAAAAAAGTGAGATTTTTTCATTTTACTGTTTTAAAATATATTTAATAACGATGTTTTTATAAAGGAAATTTATTCTTCATGATTTATGAAAAGTATGTTCCTCAAGCAGCAGCATTACTGAGACTTCCTTTCATTGGATAACAGAATACAGTGCTATCTGGTATGGCTAAGGACTGAGCTGTTCTATTTATTATTTAAAATAAATATTTGAATAAAAGCATAATTATGTATGTCTCATGTAGATTGCTAATTTTATTTTATAAACATCAAACCTCTGTGCTGAACATGGCAATGAAGTAAAAGGGGAAGATACATTCATTCTTTTACAGAAGACTCTAATTTAGCCCAGGGGTTCTCAACATTTTCGTAAAGGGCGGGATTATAAATGTTTTAGAGCTGTGGGTGGTGAGGTCTGAGTTGCAACTACTTAACTCATTGTGCCTCACAAAGGGCCTTAGAAAATGGTAAACAAGTCAGTACAGGTGTTCTGTTGAAACTTCATGAAGCAGGCAACTGATCGACGGCCTGTAGTTTGTCTGTCTCTAATCTAGGTAATGCACTGCCTTAAGTTACTTTTCTCATTGCTGAGATAAAATACCCAACATGCCAAGTTAAAGGAGGAAAAGTTTATTTCAGCTTACAGTTTACAGACTGTAGTCAGCTGGCTCCAAGGCAGGTTGGCATAGCAGAGGAGAAGCAGTTCATAGCAAGGAGAAGGCAGAAAGACAGAAAGTGGAGGGGCTGGGGATTTAGCTCATAGCGTAAGTACTTGCCTTGCAAGCAGGCGGTCGTGAGTTTGATCCCCGGTACCCATAAAAAAAAAAAAAAAAAGACAGAAAGTGGCGAAGTAGCAGCAGCAAGCAACGGCGCCCCTGCCTCTGCCCCTCACATCCCACCCGGCTACCCTCCCTTAGGGCAGGGAGCACACACACCTAGAGTGAGGCACCGTTGACCCTAAAACTGCACCACAAGTCAGTTCCAGCAGCACATCCTCCATCCTAGCGCCACATACTCTGTCTGACAGCCCCACCTGTGACTAAGGCTTTGTAGGAGGTCGAGGTGCAGGCCGTCACGTGCCCTGTGCTAGACTTGGGCCTCTGTGGTCAGAGGCTGTGACTGCTTATCTCATGGTCTCCAGTGTTTAGGTGGGTGTGTAGTAGCTGGGTGTGTGAATGGCGGAATGAGTATAGCATGAGAGGGGATTTTTCATAGAGGAGATACTGACAGAATGTGTTGGACTTCAGAGGAAGGAGAAAGGATTTCTGATTGATCATTGAAGACTTCACTTTAGTGATGGTACTTGAGATAGTGACCACGGACGTGTATGCTGTGCTTACTGTTACTGCCAGCCCAGATGCTAAAGTGTTTTACATGCGCTTGTTCAGTCTTCACCACAATCTAGTGAAATTGTTATTCTTACATTCTTCATCTTACAGGTGAGGAAACAGAGGTACAGGCACAAAAAGGCTCAGTAACTTGCTCAAGGTAATAAGATAATAAGTGGCAGAGTCTAGAGTGAAATTCAGATGGATTTCAGAGCCTTTTTCTTTCTTTCATTTTTTTTTTTTTCAAACATAGAATCTTGCTAAATTGCTTAGGCTGGCTTTGAACCTGGGATCCTCCTGCTCAGTCTCCTGAGTATTTAGGGTTATAGATGAGAGCCACCATGTCCAGCTCCAGAGTCTCTGATTTTTGTATTCCTACTGTATTGCTTTGAAAAAGAGAGTTAGTTGAGTGATACATTCTGGAATTACATGAATAGAGTCATGGAGGGAGTCAATAATAGTAACACTAGTGAAAACTAACTTACCAGCTGAGTATGGTGGTGCACACATGTAATTCCAGCTACTTGGGAGATGGAGGCAGAAGATTGAAAGTTTGAGGCCAACCCAGGCAAAGTTAACAAGGCTCTGTCTCAAAATTTAAAATAAATTTAAAAAGGCTGGAGATACAGCTTAGTGTTCCCTGGGTTCAATGCCCAGTACCAAATAAATAAATAAATAAATAAATGTAGACCTTTATCAGTAATTACTATTGTGCCAGCTTCTGTAGTAGTTGGTTTTTTTTGTTTTGTTTTATCGGTACTGGGGATTGAACTCATGACTGCCTGCTTGCAAGGCAGGTGCTTATGCCACTGAGCTAAATCCCCAGCCCCTGTAGTAGTAGATGTTTTATCTTTTTTTTTTTTTTTGATACTGGGGTACAACCTAGAATCTTGCGTATGCTAAGCAAGCAAGAGTTGTGCCCCTAAGCTACATGCTAGCCTAGATGATACCATTTAACACTCACAATAACCCAATGGCATAGGCTTTTGTTACCATTTTAGAGACAAAAACTGAGGTCCAGAGAGATGGAGGAACCTGCTAGGATTCCAAAGTTACTAAATGGTAGAGCTGGTATTTAAATCCAAGTTGACTCCAGAGTGTATGGTGTTATTTGTGACCTGACTGCATAGATTCACATGAATAAATTTTCTATTATTATTAACAGTAAGTAGAATTAGCATTTAAAACCTGTCTTTGTAATTGGAACCTTGAATCACCAGGCTATATTAATGAGTAGCTGTAATACAGGGAGTGTTTGGGACTAGTGAACAATTTATTTCACAGTAAACATGGGGTAGGGAGAAAAAGAGAAGATTTGACGGTATCAGTTCATGCTAGAGCCTAGAATTCTAAGAGCATAGGAGTGGCGTTATGCCTAGGCTTTCTGGCAGGTTTATTTATTACTAATATGCAGGCACAAATTGAAGGGAAAACAGTGGAGACGGGGAAGCCTGTTGGAAATCTACTATAGAAAAATGCTAAGGATGTAGCACTTTGGGATGTTAAATTTATCCAGGCTGGTCTCAAATTTACAGTCCTCCTGTCTCAGCCTCCCAAGTAGCTGGAATTACGTGTGTTCACTACATTCTCAGCCTATAAAAGTTAGTTTTTACCATTCTTTATTGACTTTCTCTGTAACTCTAGGGATTTAGCTCAGTAATAGAGTGCTTGTGTAGCAACCCCATTGGAAAAAAAAGAGAGAGTGAGAGAAGGATGCCAATAATGGGCCCATTAGAAATGGCCGTAGGAACTGGGCATAGTGGTGTGTGCCTATAATCCCAGCACTCTTGGAGGCTGAGGCAGGAGTATCATAAATTTGACCCCAAGCTAGGCAATTTCACAGGACCTTGTCTCAGAAAACTTTTTTTTTTTAAAGGGGATTGGGAGTGTTGGTCAATGCAAAGGGCCTGGAATCAATTAGCAGTACAGCTACAGACACACATGTTAGGAATAACAACATCAAAAAATAAAAACGCTGTTAGGAATACATACTGAGCTGCCTCAGTATAAGCTTTCGGCCAACACGTATTAGGCCCTGTTTATGTGTTGTGTTGATGCTTGGCGTAAAGGATAAGGTCCTTTCCTTCAAGGACTTCCTAGCCAGTGGGATTCAGGAAAGATCTCCTTGTTTCAGATCTCTGACAGTTAAAAACGAAGCACTAGGAGAAGATAGTGATAAACTCATAAAGGAAAGCTTCTTGAAGACAGTGCTGAATCTTAAAGCATGAGCCTACAAAAAAGATAATGTCTCTGTGATTTCGCTCCCACATTCAGTGCTTTGGCAAACCCAGTTCTGTTTTCAAAACTCTTTTCTAGAATTCCAGCATTTCACTTCCCTTTTTACCTCTTGGACTAGACTGAAAATGATTTCTCTTGTGAATTATTGTCGTGACATTCGATCAGCACATCTGCTTCTATCTTTGCCTTCCGGAAGCTTATTCTAAACATAATTGATAAGAGTGATCCATTAATAACATCACTATTGCCCATCAAAGTGGTGCTACACACTTGTAACTCCAGCTAGTTGGGAGGCTGAGCAAGGCAGCAGGTTCCCGGCCACCCTGGTCAATTCAGTGAGATCCTGTATTAAGGTAAAATTTTAAAAAAGGACTCGGAATGTAGTTCTGAGCTAGAGCATTTGCCTTGCATGTACAGGACAATTAGGACCCCAGACCAGATGTCAGCGAATGTCTGTAATCCCAGCAGGGGTGGGAGCTGTGACAGGAGCATCACTGGGAGTTTGAGGCCAGCCTGGACTATGCAGCAATAGGCTGTCTCCAAAACAAAGGGGCGCTAAGGTTCAGCACTGCCCCTCACCAGAAGAGGGTTCAGTGTTGCCTTTCTTAGCTGTCCTAAGTAACATTTTAACATTTCCTGTCTTTCCTAGAATAAAGTGGTCTGTATGAGAAGTAGGGGTATTTGATTGTTATTCACTACACTAAGGGACTAGCCTGGCATACCTGAGACCTTAGATCCAATCTGTAGTGTCAGTGAGAGAGTGAAGGAGAGAGAGGAGAGAGAGAGAGACACACGAAGGAAATGTAAAATAGGTTGTAATTCTAGAGGATGAAATACCAGGTTTGACCATATTTTCCATGCTATATTTCTTTCTTAAATGTTGTCAGGGGGCTGGGGATTTAACTCAGCGGCATAAGCGCCTGCCTTGCAAGCAGGCAGTCATGAGTTCGATCCCCGGTACCGATAAAAACGAAAACGACAAAAAAAAAAAATGTTGTCAGAATTAAAGTATGATCTCCAAATGCTTGTTATTATTGTTTACTATCAATTAAGCGGAATTTTCTCTTTCCTTTTTATCGACTTAAATTTAAAGCAGCAGTTCCCAACTAGAGCTTTGAAATTGTGCCTTGTTCTCCAGGATTAATTTATAAAACCTTCTGTTTTTAGGTTCGAAGCAGCCAAACTTGTCATGCAGTGGCTCTGCAATCATGAAGATCAAAACATGCAAAGGATGGCGGTTGCTATTATTTCCATCCTGGCTGCCAAGGTACTGCAATTCTTGCTAAATAATTATCTACAGGCAATTGTTTCCTATTACAATTACTATTTTCTGGGATTAGGTGTGGTGGTGCATGCCTATAATCCCAACACACGGGAGGCTGAGGCAGGAGGATTGCCACAAGTTTGGGGCTAGCCTGGGTTACATAGTGAGTTCAGGGACACCCTGACCTACATTGCAAGACCCTGTATCCCCTCCCCACTTTGGGGTTGGGGATTTAGTTCAGCGGTGTGAAGGCCTGCCTCACAAGTACAAGGTCGTGAGTTTGATCCCCATTACCAAAAAAAACCCAAAAACTTCTCCACAAAACAAAAAACAATGATTATTTTCCCTGCAGTCTGTGTGCCAGAAAAATTAGTAAGTGTATCAGCCAGCCTTAGTCAAGCTGATTAAATATGGAGGAATTTCATGTTGATCAGATATTTTAGTCTGCCCTTGGAGTCTGTCACAGTGAATGGTTGTGACTCAGCCTAATTAGTTCATTGATATTTACTCGGTCTTATGCTTTCTTTCAGCTTTCTACAGAGCAAACTGCACAGCTTGGAGCTGAGCTCTTCATCGTTAGGGTAAGTTGGTATTTCTTCCGCAGGCTACTAGATAAATATTTTTATTTTCAGCTGTTAATATTTTCTAGCTCTATCTACATTGCTATATATGTATTTTTTTCTTCCTTTCCTTTTTTTTTTTTTTTTAATGTTTTTATTTTTACTGGGTAGGATGGTACACTCCTGCAAACCCAGCACTTGGGAGGCTGAGGCACGAGAACCATTTGCAAGTTTGAGACCAGCCTGAGTCAAGGCCAGTCTGAACTGCATAGAGAGATCCTGTATCAAAAAGACCAAAAAAAAAAAAAAAAAAAGATTTTTATTTTTGTTGTTTCGTTGGCTGCTTTCTTTCTTTTTTGGGGGGTGGGGTGGGGGGAGACATGTTCCCACATTACAGTTCAGTTTGACCTCAGACTTGCAGTGATCCTCCTGTCTCAGTCTCTCACAGTGCTGGCATTACAGGTGTGTGCTACCACACCTGGCCCTTCTTTCTCTTTCTTTCTTCCTTTTTTTTGTTTTTTTGTGGTGCTGGGCACTCAGGATTTTGCATTGCTAGGCAAGTACTCTACCTCTGATCTAAAACCTCAGTACTTTGCTTTTTGAGACAGGGTCTCAGTGTGTAGTTTGTGCTGGCCTTATACTCAGTAATCCTCCTGCCTCAGCCTCCCAAGTGCTGGGAGTACAGGCATGCAGCACCATTGCCTGACATCCTCTATATTTTTAAAAGTTTTTTTTTTTTTGATACTTCCAAATTTAATATTGGACAGTGGGTCTTTTGGCCATAGCCAAGGAATGCGAATGAATGCAGGCCAAGCTTTTAGTTTGAAAGAATTTCAGTTTGAGGAGAAAGGATGCTAAAGGGGAAAGAGCACTGAGAGAGTGAAATTAATAGAGGACTGGACAAGTTTCCCTGGGGCTACTGCTGGGCTGAGTGGGGTCTGGTTGATCATTGTCTCGATTGGGTCCCTCAGAGGTTGCTCTGAGATCCTCACTGCCTGGGGATGAGGGCTGCACGGAGGGGCAGCCTCAGAATGTATCATGGGCCCAGGGGAGGGTGCTCTCGGCAAGGCCGGATCTGCCTTCAGAGGTGTTGCCCTTCCTGGGACTCAGGGATTCAGGTCAGGACAGGGACTGGAGACTCTAGGCATTGCTCCAGGGCTGCAGTAGAATGTTGTAAAGCTGCCAATGCAGTGTCCCTGAAAATTCATGAAAAAATGTCTTAGTTACTCCTATCTTGGTGTTTCCATTCTTAAAGGGGGTTGAGCTAGCTTCTGGGTTAAGGCCTGGGTGTTTTCCTGTTTTCCTCATGCCCGTCTGTCAGTGGGTGACAGGTCATGGGATTTTTTTTCTTCTGTCTCTGTGATAATCCCAGTCTCATATTCTGTTTTATTTTTAATTTTTTTTGGTACTGGGGTTTGAACCCAGCACTCTTATGTTGAGTTATAGCTCCAGTTTTTTTTTATTTTGAGACAGGGCCTTGGTAAGTTTCTCAGGCTAGACTGGAACTTGGGATCCTCCTGCCTCAGCAGCCAGGGGTGCCAAGGTTACGGGCATATACCACTACACCTGGCTCATCTCTTTTAATGGAAGCAGTTTTATTCCTTAACAGAAAGAGCTCTGAAGTAGGAGTTGGGTGACCTATGTTTTAACTTGCAAACTTACTTTGTGAATTTAGATAAAATACTTTCACTGAGGCCAACATAAACAGTAAGATCCTTTCTGGTGGATGGGGTAAAGTTTCTAGCATGCTTGAGGCCCTGAGTTCTAGCCCTGCTACCCTAAAACAAAACAAATGATCTTATCTACTGCAGCTCTGGACATTCCAGGGGGGGATGCTGGAGGGGAGGGGAGGACGGTGAGAGGATGGGAAATAAGGAAAGGGGAGGAAGGCAAAGGTCAGGAGCCCTTCTCCTGATGGGAGATCAGGGGCTGCTTAACCACCAGAGCACATTTATTTATACAGTCAGTAGGAGGATGTCAGTTTCAACCCCTCTGCCTAGCAACTTGTTTGCCTGCCTGCCTGGTTTGGGCAGCTGGCTTTGGGAGCTGGAACAGCTTGTTTACTTAACTTGCAGCAGGCCTCTCTGGTCTCAGGACTGGCCTTGCTCTGCCCCACATGTGTGATACATCTACAGTCTCGGCTGCTCACTGCAATCTATTTACACATTTTTGTGACTCTGAAGAAAAAGTAGGGCCTATAATACGCATTGTGTTAGATGCTTTAGAAAAACAGAAAATTTAAATAGCTTATATACATGACTCTACTTACAAACAGCTGAGGAAATAAACTGAAGTTATAGAAAAGCTGTAAAGGGAATCTAGATAAAGTGTCTTAGAAGAGACTGGAGATAAAATGTCTATTTAGGAGCTTCTTTCTGAAATAAGGTATTTGGACACTTAAGTACATGAAAAAGTCAAAATAATAAACTGTCTTTCTCCATGACTTAAAAGTTATGTATATAATAAGAAAATAAGTTATTCATTTGACAAATATATGTAGTGTGCCCAGAAGCTGCTGCTTTACTTAGATATTAGGGATGCACACGGCATTCCTCTCTAAATCCTGACATAAAAACTCATGATGCAGAAAAGAGCTCCATGGATGTGGTTATTGTAACACGTATCATACAAGGGAAGAGGAGGGACACTAGCAGAGACCACCAGGCTTCTGTAAAGGCAACATGGCATGGAATTTACTGCTGTGAGCCAAGAGACTCCCTTCTTTAGGGATGGAAGACGGGGACTCTAGGTGGAAACATTTTAATAAATGTCTGTGGTCAGAGTTCTCTGGCAGTCTTGTACCTCATTAGGCGGAGTCTTTGAAGTGTCTGGTGTAAAGTTTTGGGTGTCTCCGGATGTCCCAGAAGCTATAAAACTCCCCGTATCCTATCTTATCTCTTTTCCTGTGGTAACTTAGATGAGAGCTGCGTTCCCGGAAGAAAGTAGTGCGTCTGCGGAGCAAATGGGCTGGGGCTGGAGAAGACAGTCTGATGTGGACCTTACAGTTCTAGTGCAGCCCAGAAGTCTAATCATAGAAGAATAAACAAAGAGATGGAGGGCTCGTATGGTACAATAGAGGAGATCTCTGGAGTTGGCATATTTGTTTATCTCTATTTCTTAATAGTTGTGTAATTTTGAGTGAGTCACATTACATAGCTCCTAGAAAGATTAAATAAAAAGATAAATTATAGGAGTATATACTGAGTAGTTAAATACAGTATATACTGAGTTAGATTAAGGAAGAAATGGTACTTAATTTTTTTTTAGGGATGATATTCTAGTTTTTTAAAAAAAACTTTTTTGATGGGCACAGTGGTACATACCTGTAATCCTAGCTACTTGGGTAGCTAAACCAGGAGGAGCAAAAGTTTGAGGCTACCCTAGGCAATCCTCCAAGGCCCTGTCTAAAAATAAAAAGTGCTGGGGAGATACATCTCAATGGTAGAGCACTTGCCGAGACCACGCAAAGCCCTGAGTTCAGTCTCTAGTATTGTTAAAAACAACAAAACACATGGGGCTGGGGATTTAGCTCAGCGGCATAAGCGCCTGCCTTGCAAACACGCAGTCATGAGTTCGATCCCCAGTACTGATTTAAAACACACACACACCTACCTACCTTTTTCTTTTTTGCTGTATGTGGTGTTTTCACTGGAGATGTATTCAACGACTTCAAGGAAGTGGGCTACTTGTATAATTTGTGTGTGGGAGGATTAAGTTTAGTGTAAGCAGGAATTAGCAGTAATGATAGTGATGTTAATAATTTAAGTTTTGTTTTGTTTTGGTTTATTTGGTGCTTGAGATTGAATCCAGAACCTGGCACAGATCTACCATTGAAGTGCATCTTCAGTCCAAGTGTTTTGTTTGTTCATTCCTTGGTTTTTGCAGTATTGTGAATTAGACCCAGGACCTTCTCACTGAACTATCTCTGCAGTCCTTTTTATTTTGAGGCTGACTTTGCTAACTTCCCTGGGCTTGATTCAAACATGTAATTCTTTTGCCTCAGCCTCTTAGGGTGCTGGCATTATAGGCATGTGCCACCATGCCAACTAGTTTTTGTTTTTCTTTTTAATTCTTAATTACTACCCATCTGGGTGTAGTGGCACATGTCTGTAGTTCCTGTTCTTGGGAGGCTGAGATAGGAGGATTGCTCTGAGTTTGAGGCTAGCCTGGGCAACAAAGTGAGTTCAAGGTTAATCTGACCTACATAGCAAAACCCTTTCTGAAAAACACAACAGAAACAACAAAAGACAACCATAGTATATACATGAGAAAATAGTCAAGTAGGTTATGATAAGTAGGTTGTGTGATTAGTTCCACATATATGTATGCGTGTTTGTGTGTGTGTGTATTCAGATGACTTGATTCTAGTGCCACAGTCTTAGCCATTATGCTATTGATTTAAATAATGGTACCTAGATGTATGTGTTTCTTTTAAAAATTTTCTAAGCTGGGATTATAGCTTAATAGCACAGCACCTGCCTGGTAAGTGTGAGGTTGTAAATTCAATTGCTGATACCAGGAAAAATAGTCACAAAAGTTTTCTAGTCATATGTAACTTTTAGTAATAGTATTTATTAATATTTTTGTGAATCTGTTTTAGCAGGACTTCCCTTTTACCTCCAAAAATGTAATCTAAAAATGAAATTATAGATGTTTTATGTAGATTTTAAACCATTTACCTTTTAAGCTTAAAGTTCTTAGACTAGAACTCTGATAGAAATAGTTTATAATTGGAATTTCAAAGCCGTTATTGTATATAATAGAAAGTTTAATTGCTTTATAATTACATTTGGTCATCCGTCTTTTTTCCTTCAGGAAAACTTTGTCTCAGTTCACCGTAATTAAATGACTTAATATTTCTCAGATTAGCTTTCTTCCCTGGAGAATGGGGATAGAGCAGTGCACAGTGCAGGACCCAGGTGGCAAAGCCATGAGCTCCCGTGCTGTCACAGGACAAAGGGCCCTTGTCATCATTCGAGGCTGGTCCCTCCAGCATCACCCAGCAGCAGAGCATCAGATAACAATTGTCTTTTTCTACACTAAAACCTCGGCATGCAGGGTTAATTGCAGTATTGGCGCTTTGCGGTAGATAAGCGGGTTTGTGTTGCAGTTTGGGCACTCAGTCTCTAAAAGGTTTACCATCACCGGTGTAGGTACCAATTGCTAATGTTTAATTGATGCTTCCTTCACTTTCTCTTTTCCTGCTCCACCTTTTTTTATCTCAGGTTCTGAAATATGTACTATGCTATGACTGATAAGGTGGTTGATCCAGGGCATGTGTGGTGGTGCATGCCTGTGATCCCCGAACTCAGGAGGCTGAGACAGGAGGATTACGGCAAGTTTGAGGCCAGCCTGGGCTACAAAGTGAGTTCAAGGCCAGCCTGAACTGCACAGTGAGACCCTGTCTCAAAAAGACCAAAAAAAAAAGAAAAAAAAAAAAGATGATTTATCTACACCTTCAATTGTTTTAGGTGACTAAATGATAGATATGATCCAAAATATGTGGCAGTATTTATGAAAATCATACATACTATCCTTATTCTTCTTCTTTTTTTTTTTTTTTTATCTTTTTCCTTTTTATCAGTACCGGGGATCAAACTCACGACTGCCTGCTTGGAAGGCAGGTGCTTATGCCGCTGAGCTAAATCCCCAGCCATACATACTTTTCTTATTGAAGGAAAAGTCTGCCCTAGGGGGCTATATTTATAAGATCCTTTATGGGAAATGCTTTGAGTCATGAGATCGACCCTTAAAAATATGTGGTCATTAATAATAACAAATTATAGTAATAATTCAGCAGTGAAGAATTAATTCTGTTTTTTTCCTTATAGCAACTTCTTCAAATAGTGAAGCAGAAAACCAATCAAAATTCTGTGGATACTACGCTGAAGTTCACACTGAGTGCTCTGTGGAACCTCACAGATGAATCCCCAACCACATGTAGACACTTCATTGAAAACCAAGGTCTAGAGCTCTTCATGCGGGTTCTGGAGGTTAGAACGGGAACTTCGGTCTACACTTGGGATGTTTATCAATTTACTTAATTAAGCCTTGACTTATGTGCTTTTTGGGGGGTAGTAACAAAGTTCTCTTTCTCTTTTACAGTCTTTCCCAACTGAGTCATCCATTCAACAGAAAGTTCTAGGACTTTTGGTAAGACATAAACATTCCCTGTTAAATCGAATGCTGTAATTTTCTATCTGCGGGAATACAGTGAAAGTTGGTGCTGTATTTATGAACACTAAGTGACACTGGAGAGTAATACACTATAGTTATTAAATTACAAACTAAACAGGCAATAAGAAGTTCATCTATAATCTCAGCTACTGGGAAGGCTGAGGCAGGAGGACTGGAAGTTCAAGGCCAGCCTGGGCAACTTAGCAAGACACTGTCAAACAAACGAACAAGACAAAACAAAATGCTAAGTAGCAATAAAGGGCTGGCTTGTAGCACACAGCTGAAATCCTACCTGCTCCAGAGCCTGAGGTTGGAGAGTCACTTCAGCCTGGGAGTCTGAGAGTTTGATACTTTAAAAGGAAAAAAAATACATACTTTATATTTTCACATTGTGCAAAGTTTCACACTGAGGGTTTTTTGTTTGTTTGGTTTTTGTTTTATTGTCTTTTTTTGAGGCCGGAAGATATGGTTCAGGTTAGCTGTGAACTCACTTTGTAGCCTAGGTTGATCTTGAATTTGTGGTGATCCTCTTGCCTCAGCCTCCTGAATGCTGGGATTACCGGCATGCGCCACCACATCTGGTTTAAGCATATTTTTTACAAAAATTTTCATTAAAAATATCCTTAACTTACAAGTATCCTTGGATGCTATGTTTGGGAATTAAAAATTACTACTTAAAGCACTGTTCAACAAACCACATACTCCTTAATAGTTTGGATATAGATTAGGGTACACTTGTAGGATTAAGGGGCAAAGATGAAGGATCAAATGTTTGTTTTTTTTTGTTTTTTTTTTTTTTGTCTTTTTACTTTTTATCGGTAACGGGGACCGAACTCACGACTGCCTGCTTGCCATGCAGGCGCTTAGTAGTAGTACACGTTTTACACCAGTCCTGGGATCTTAAAGAATTAGATCATAAGAGGCATAGATGTAAGTTAGTGTTTATTTTCATGTGCAAGAGTGTGAGATAGGAGGTGAATTTGGGGGAAAGCTGAGGACTGGCATTTAAGGGGATCCTATCTATTTCTAGTAGCTTTTATTACATAAAGTAGAAAAAGGAGAACAATGTAAATATCTGATAATAGAGGAATTATTAAATAAATGACAGAATTTTATTTAAGAAATTATTTAGGGTGGCGCACACATGTAATCCTACCACCTGGGAGGCTGAGGCAGGAGGATTGCTGCAAATTTGAGACTAGCCTGAGCTACAGTGCGCTCAAGGCCAGCCTGAACTGCATAGTGACACCCTGTCTGAAAAAAAATTGTTTGGCACAACTGGGACTCAAACGTAGGACCCTTATGCATGCTGGGGAAGCACTCCACCACGGAGATCTATCCCTATCCTTTTTATTTTTTAGTTTGACACAGTGCTGCATACATATGACTTCCACACTTAGGAGGTGAAGGCAAGAGTCTTGTGAGTTTGAGGCCAGCCTGTGCTAGGTGGTGAGTGTGACTCTGTCTCAAAAAAACACAAATGAAAAGGAGGGGGAGGGAAGAGGAGGAAGTTTATTTGAAGGACAGAGCTTTGCAGATAGTTTTTGGACCTGGGAGTATAGCTGAGCGATACAGCATGTGCTCATTAGCATGTGCACAAATCCCAGGTTCAATTCTCAGCACCCCAAGAGTGTTTTTTTTTTTTTTTAATTTGTAAAAGAATACATGTTGTGTTCACTTTGGTAGTACATATACTAAAAAGAATACATGTTCATTATAATTAATGAAGCATTGCAAAATACATTTTAAAGGTTTAAGATTCTGGAGAGCATTTGGTAACATTTTGGGTCCAGATTGCTGTGGGATTCTAGAATCATACATAAAGCCAATTGTGATGGAGAAAATAATTTTAAAACTCTATACCATTTGTAGAGTCATAATTAATATTACTCTAACCTGGCCAAGGGTTTAGTACTTGCTTAGCATACATGAGACGTTGGATTTGATCCAAACATAAAGTATGTTTCTTATAGACGGTGTATACTTTGTGTCTCATTTTTAAATCCAGTTTGATAATTTCTGCTTTTTAGTAAGGAGGGGCTTTTTGATGACAGTAAATGCATTAATGTTTTGCCACCACTCACCACGTTCATCCCCAGTAGCCTTCATCCATTGGGTAGTCCCACCCACTTCACACCCTCTAGGGCTCTGGTAACAATTCTGTTTCCTACCTGAGATTTTTGACTATGCTAACTGCCTTATATAAGTGGAATCATCAGTATTTGTCTTTTTGTGACAAAGAATTAATGAAACTGAGGATCTTCTTACATATTTATTGGCCATTCATAGACTTTTTTTTGGAAAAATATCTGTTCAGCCCTTTTTTATCTGTTTCTGAAGTTTTAAGGGTTCTCTGTTCTGAATATGATTTACAAATGTTTTACTGCATTCTGAATATAAGGTTTTTGTTGTTGTTTTGTTTTGTTTTTGAGGCAGGGTCTCATGTAGTTTGGGCTGATCTTCAGCTCATCATGTAGCCCAAGGTGGCCTCAAACTCATGGCAGTCCTCCTGCCTCGGCCTCCCCAGTGCTGGGATTACAATCATGCAACACTTGGCCCAGTCTGCATGGCAGTTTTTGGTTGGATGCAAGTCATCGTGAATTTTACCTTACTACATATTTTTATTTTCCTATACATATTATTAAATTTTGTTCTGAGGTACAGTTAATTTACTTTTAAAAAGTTTGACCATTTTGGGTTTTGATATATAGTTTATTAGATCCCACAGTAATGATTAAGCTTGGGCTAATTATTCTCTACTACTGAAATGTGGCCTTTTTTTTGAGACAGGATCATATTATGTTGCCCACTGTGGTCTTACTACACTTGTGGGCTCAAAAGATCCTCTTACCTCAGCTTCCTGAGTAGCGGGGACGACTGGTGTGGCTCACCAGGCCCAGCTCCCTGATTCTTTTTTGATGGTTCTTTTCCTGCCCTGTAATAATTTGCCCAAGCTCATATACTGACTGCCCTGTACTCTCGGTACTGGCAGCCTATAATGCTGTGGCCTCCTAGAGAATTTTTTCTAGGTTTTTGTTGTCCTGAACAAACAATTGGACTAACATGTGCAAAAGCTAGAGGCTTTATATTTATTAACCGTAGGAGAAGGAGGATGCTCTTGAGAGTGGGTTTGGGCCAATTAAAATGGGTTAAAGAAACAGGCTTTTCAGGGTGGCAGCCCCTGCACGATGTCCAGTGGCAGCAAGGTGAATGCAGCGTCCATTTGTAACCTCAGGCTGACATTTGGCGTAGGCTGTCCTGAAACCTGCTTGATCTTGGGCCAGAACAGTTGAAGGTAGCATTTTCTCATTTGTTTCAGGAGCAAAATTTGGAAACTATTTTTCTGCAAATCCAGCCTGAATTTCTTGATTGACGGATTACAACCTTTTGCTCAACCAGCTGGCCATGCCCAGTGTGCCACACTCTTGAGTCCTAAACTCTCCGTCTGCATCACTCTTTGTTCTGGTACTCTGTCCAGTAGGCTGCCGTAGCTCTGGACTCCCAGTTCCATTTCCTCTGTTCCCTGAGACCACAGAGCTCTGCTTCAGGGCTTTACCCCTCATGCACAGCCTCGCAAGGCTCCGTTCTTTGCTCCTGTTGTTTCATGTTTGTTTGTTTCCAGTGGTTTCAGGCAGAAGTGTTGGAGTTAGTTTCAGGCAGGTTCTGGTTGGAGTTAGGTCTCACTGTGTAACCCAAACTGGCCTTGAATTCACAGCAGTCCTCCTTCCTCACCCTCCTGATGCTGGGATTAGAGGGGTGCACCACCATACTCAGTTGTTTTATGTTTCTCTCTGTCTCTGCCTGTCTGTCTCTGTCTCTCTCTGTCTCTCTCTCCTCTCTCTTCTCTCCATCTCTCTCTAATAAGGGGGATTTAACACAAAAACTTTTTTCAAGTGAGGCAGCCACTGTACCTCTGAGCTGTATCCCAGCCTCTTTTCACATTTCTTATTCTGAAGGTATAATGGCCATGCACTTTACTCTGGTTTGGTTTGTGTGGAAAAATCTTTTATTTTAAACTCTTAGACAGAGTCTCACTGTACAGTTCAGGTTGTCCTTGAACAGTGGTCTCAAATTTGAGGCAATCATTTTGCCTCAGCCTTCCAAGTGCTAGGATAATAAGCCACTGTGTCTGTCTTTTTTTTTTTTTTTTTTTTTTTCATTTTTAAATAGATTTTTAGGTGTCTTTTAAAATCCTTTTTTTTTTTTTTTTTTTTTTTTTGTCTTTTTCCTTTTTATCGGTACCGGGGATCGAACTCACGACTGCCAGCTTGCAAGGCAGGCACTTACGCCACAGAGCTAAATCCCCAGCCCTATGTGTCTTTTAAAATCTTAAGTGGACATTTTTTTCCTTTTAAATCTTTAGGGTTTGTAATTTCCATCAGATTGGAGACATTTCTTATTTCTTCAAATCTTCTCTCATATCCTCTTAGCACATTTCTTTCTAGACCTGCAATTACAAGTATGTTAAATTGCTCAGTAATGTGTTTCACATCACCGAAGTCCTTTATTAATTTTCTCTCCAGTTTTTTTTACTTTTTGTACTTTGGTTTGGCTGTTTTCTATTTTATTTCACTAATGATTTTTTTCTGTACCATCTCGTTTTCTATTAATGCCCAGTATATTGTGTATGTCAGATAACTCTAGAAGTTACATTTCAGGATTTTGTTTGTAGATAAGACTTCTGTCTGTAGAGACTGGCCTCAAATTTGAGATTCTCCTGTCTCAGCCTCTCAAATGTGCGGTTATAGGGGTGCACTGCTGCACTTTGTTGAGGTCTTTTTAGATCCTTATTTTTTTCTCCTTATGTTTGTGTTTTATTTTATCCTGGATCATACTTATAATAACTGTTCAAAATCTTTGCTAATTTCATTATTTCTGTCATTTCTACATCTGTTTCTGATTTTTTCTTGTTTGTGAGTTTTGATTAGATGTCAGTCCTTCGGAAGTTTACATTGGTGATTGCTTTATAGTATTAGCCTCTGAAGACTCTTTGTTCCGGCATACTGTTAAGTTACTTGCACATCAAGTTGCTTTTTTTTTGGTGCTGGGAATCAAACTCACGACCTCACGTTTGCCAAGCAGCTACTTATGCCACTGAGCTAAACCCCCAACCCCTCAAGTTGCTTTTTTTTTTTTGAGACAAGAGTATTGTTATGCAGTTCAGGCTGGCCTTGGGTTCACTTTGTAGCCCAGGTTGGTCTCAAACTTGCAACAATCCTCCTGCCTCAGCTTCCCAAGTGCTGGGATTAGGGGCGTGCATCACCATGCTTGGCTTTTTCAAATGGCTTCTTTTTAAAGCTTGTTTGTTTTATTAAGTGGCTTCAGATCAACTTTGGCCCAAGGGCTAACATAATAGTGCCACCTCTGTCAAATATTTTGTTTATGATTTGATCTCTTCACTCTTGCTGATGGGAACGTGAACTATTCCTAGGTTTTCCTGACTTTCAGATTCCTTTGTGTACTTTCTGGTGGCTCTTTTCCTAACCTCCTGGCTTATTACTCAACCAAATATTTAGGGGGACTTCTTGTATAGTAACATCTGTGTGTACCTGTCTGTCTGTCTCTCCCTTCCTTTTCTAGTATTCTTTGTTTTTCCTCCCAAGCATGGCTACCCTGAACTATGATCTCTGCCTTTTCAACGAAAGTACCAGGTTCTCACTGGATTTTCCTTCATTGCAATCTAAAAACTGTGCTCACTTGAACACTTTCAGTGATTCCCCTGCTGGTATTGGCGGTTGGTTATCCTATGTCCGTATATAATTCTTTTAGCCATTTATTATACATATTACTTGAACTTTTAAATTTGTTTTTATATTACTTTAATTTTAATTTTTTTCCCCCAGAACAATATAGCCGAAGTACAAGAATTACATTCTGAATTAATGTGGAAGGATTTCATCGACCACATCAGTAGTCTGCTGCACAGTGTTGAAGTGGAAGTGAGTTACTTTGCGGCTGGCATTATCGCCCATTTAATATCCAGAGGTGAACAGGCCTGGACACTAAGCCGTAGCCAGAGGAATTCTCTTCTGGATGATTTGGTAGGATCATTGGGTGTTTTCTGGAGGAATGCAAACAACACTCATAATGGTCCAATTATCAGAGCCTTCTGATGTTATACCATAGTGCTAAGTACATGCTGTAACCCTCTCTCTGTGTCTCGTGTCTTCTAGCACTCAGCTATCCTGAAGTGGCCAACTCCAGAGTGTGAGATGGTTGCGTACAGGTAAGTATCACAATAATCTGCAATATGCCAGTAGCCTAGTCTTTTTTTTATCTTAGGATCATCCTATTAGATGTTAGTGCTGAGTGTGATGTACAGGCCTATAATCCTAGCTACCTGGCAGGCTGAGGCAGGAAGGTTGCAGCCTGGGTAACTCAGTGAGATCTTATTTCAAAGTAAAAAATAAAAAGGGTTGACATGTGGCCCAGTGTAGAGGGCTTGTCCAACATGCATGAGAGTCTGGGCTCAATCCTTAATATCTTATACAATAAAATAAGCAAAGTATTTGGACTTTTTTTTATAACAGCTATAATTCATATCATTCCTTCCTTTGTTGAATACTTACTGACTACAAATCCCAAAGATTTGTTCTGTGCTCTTGCAATTCAAAGATGGAAAAAAAAAAAAAAAAAAAAAGGAAATTCAAAGATGACCAAGACATTGTGCTGTATACAAGAATCTTATAGTCCAGTGAAGGAAGCCAAATGACCACTGTGCTAGATGTATGTAAGAACTAAACATGAAAGCCCTTAAGGCTATACTGAAAAATGTTTAAATGCTTTCAAAGAAGTCAACTGTGCACTGAGAATTTTTTGTTTTTAATTTTGTTTTTTAAGACAGAGTCTGACTATGTAGTCCGCAATGGCCTTGAACTCAGTAGCCCAAGCTGGCCTTGGACACAGTGTATTCCTCCTGCCTCAGCCTCTTGAGTGCTGGGATTATAGGCACATACCACTATGCCTGGCTAATTCTGAAAAATTCAATAGGATCAGGAGATTTGAGGACGAGAAAGCAGTTTATAAATGCATGGAAGTCTAAAAAACATGACAGTATTACAGGAACTAGAAGTTATAGGAACTAGAACTGAAAGGAAAACAGTTTTTGTAAAATGATCTATCAGAGGGCCTACTGGTTCAGTAGTGAGTTCAAGTCTAGCCTAAAAAACATAGCCAAAACCCTGTCTTAAAAAACAAAGATACTGTATAACAAATGTAACTTTGACACTTTAATTTTGTATCTGTAGGTCCTTCAACCCATTTTTCCCTTTACTTGGCTGTTTTACAACACCAGGCGTCCAGCTGTGGGCAGTTTGGGCCATGCAACATGTCTGCAGCAAGAATCGTATGTAGCAAAAACAGAATTATGGTTTTTCTTCTTCAAAGAAAATTCTCTTTTTAGAGGAAAGCCCTTTCAAATTTGCCTTTTGCAATAATTTTTAAAGATATCTAAAGGTATAATGTAAGCAAATTACAGGTTACAAACTAAATGTATTCTTTTAGAAGAAGTTTGGCAATGCTGAATGACAGCAGTGAATAAGATCACAGCCCAAACATCATGAAATTTAAAATTGTATTTAGTTCTTTAGTTGGTTGCTTGCTTGGCTTTTTTTTTTTTTTTTTTTTTTTTTTTTTTTTTTTGGTACTGGGAATCAAACTGAGCCGGCCAGGCAAGTGCTTGTGCTGTTGAACTAAATCCCCAGCCCAATGCTTGGCTTATTTTGTGAGAAAAAGGACTTTACTACATAGTCTAGTCTTGCCTTGAACTTGTTATGTAGCTGAGGCTGGCCTTGAACTTACAACCCTTCTGCCTCAGCCTTTGTCTGCTACCGTACCTTGCTTTAAATCACAGAATTTAAAGATTCAGAGCTTGTAGTGACGGGCTGGGGGCGTAGCTTAGTGGCACAGTACTTACCTAGCCTGCCCAAAACCCTAGATTCAATCCCCAGCACTGGAGGAAAACAAAACCAAACAGGACCAGGGATATAGCTTAGTAGCAGTGAACATGCCTAGCTAGCACATGTTCTGGGTTTGATTCCCAGCCCTACAAAAAATATTCTAAAAATTACGTGCAAAAGCTTGTATTTACATGAATATCCATTCAAACGTTATTTATGACAGCAAATAACCCCAAATAGAGGGCCAGCTATAGAGAAATGGAAAATATCACTGAAGTATCCATATAAAGGAATATTTTCATGTGATTTTAAGTACAGAACATGTAGTAGAGTTGAGGGTGGTGCATACACCTGTCATCCCAGCTACTTGGGAGCCTGAAGACCCCATCTCAAAAAACAAAAGAAACGAGCTGCAGGCTGGGTGTGGTTGCACATGCTTCTAATTTTGGGAGGCTGAGGCAGGAGTATTCAAAGCTTGTATTAAAAAATACAAAAGGAGCTGGGGATGTAGCTCAGAGTCAAGGCCCTGTGTTCAAGGCCCTGTGTTTGGTTTTTTTAATTTAAAAAATTAAATTATAGTCCTATAATATTAGCTACTTCAGGCCAGTCCTAAAAAACTTGAACATGAGTCTTGATATGATCAAGCTGCTCGGTAAATAAATACATTAGGCACATTTTTTTCCCCATTCTGGCTCTTTACTATGTTGTTTCCTTTGTTGTCCAGAACTTTTTTTTTTTTTTTTTGTCTCTTTATTGGTACCAGGGATCGAACTCATGACTGCCTGCTTGCAAGGCAGGCGTTTATGCCGCTGAGCTAAATCCCCAGCCCTGTTGTCCAGAACTTTTTAATTTGATATGATCCATTTGTTGATTCTTGGTACTATTTCTTGTGTTACCGGGGTTCTGTTAAAAAAAAAAAAAGTCCTTGCCTATTCCTATGATTTCAAGAGTTTTACCTATTTTATTTCTAGCAGATAAAGGTTTCTGTTTTCACGTTTAGATCTGTGATCCATTTTTATTTTAGTTTATTACTTGATGAGAGATACAGGTCTAGGTTCAATCTTCTGCATATGGATAGCCAGTTTTCCCAGAACTGGTTGTTAAAGAGGCCGCCCTTCCTTCCTTCTGAGTAAATTTTTGGCTCCCTTGTCAAATATCAGGTAGCTAAGTGTCTGGAGTTATTTCTGGATTCTCTATTCTGTCCCATTGATCCATGTTTTTTTCCCCCCAATACCATGCAGGGTTTTTTTTTTTTAAATCACTGTAGCTTTGTAGTATAACTTGAAGTCTATGATTATAATGCTTCTTGCCTTACCCTTGTTGCTTAAGATTACTTTTGCTATTCTGTATCTCTTCTAGTTCCATATGAATTTTAGGATTACTTTCTCTACTTCTGTGAGGAGTACTGGTAGTATTTTGATTGGGATTACTTTAAATTTGTGTAACAGTTTTTTGTTTTTTTTTTTTTTTAATCAGTACCAGGGATCGAACTTATGACTGCACGCTTGCGAGGCAGGCACTTATGCTGCTGAGCTAAACCCCCGGCCCCCAACAGTTTTGGAAGTGTGGGCATTTTCACTGTATTGGTTCTGCCTATCCAGGAAAGGGGTACCTCTGCATTTCTGATATCCTCCTTGATCTTGCTTTTTCCAAGTACCTGTAGTTTTCACTGTAAGGTCTTTTCTTTCTCAGTTAGCTTGATTCCTAAATGTTTAATTTTTCTTGAAACTGAGAAAGGTATTATTTCTCTAATTTCTTTGTCAGTGAGTTTATTGTTGGTGTACAGGAATGCTACTGAATTTGGTTATTAATTCTAGGAGTCTTTTGGTGGAATTCCTGGGTCTTATATGTAGAGTATCATATCATCTTTGATTTCTTGTTTCTGTGTATATATCTGTGCCATTTCTTTTCTTGCCTGCTTGCTCTGGTGATATTTTATGAATGGTGACAGCAGACATCCCTGCCTTGTTCCTGATTTAATGGGAACTCAGCTTCTCTCCATTTAATATTGACCATTAGTTTGTGATAAATGGCTCTTATCAGTTTATTTCTCTTACTTTCTTTCAGCTTCAAGGTACTGCAGCATGCTGATTGAAGAAGGAGGATTGCAACACTTATATAACATCAAAGAACATGAACAGACTGACCCTCATGTCCAGCAGATTGCTGTGGCAATTCTGGACAGCTTAGAGAAACATATTGTGCGTCATGGGAGGCCACCTCCCTGTAAGAAGCAGCCCCAGGCTAGATTAAATTGATAGTCATAGGTGATTGGATAATTGAGTCACCAGGATCCTTTTTGTGATTGGTCCACTTAGACTATCTTAAGATCAATTTGGGATTAATAATGTACAGTACTGCCCATGTGAACAGTCTAATTTGTCTTGTGATTTTTAACTTATGAGGCAAGAAAGGTCTCTATCATTCCCTTTTAGGAGATTTTCCACATCTTTCAGTGTTTGAATTTACCTGTGCTTGAGATGCTACAGTTTTCTGATAAAGTTTGCACGAACCCTTAGGCCAGACTTTTCTGATCTCGAAGTCCCTTCCAGTCAATTTGTGGGCTCTGACGAGTTGTTGCCCTGTTTCTGGCACTGTTTCAGTTGTGAAGTTTCTACCGCTTCTGTGTAAAATGCTTTTATCCTCTGCATATCTTTTAGAACACACCCTTCTTAGTGTGAGAGAAGGGAAACCCGCGCTGTGTCGGCACAGAAGCCCACCACCCTGTGGAGCCTGGGTGGCTGACAGAAAAATACAGTGGGAAGAAAAACAATTGGGGGAGGATGGAGTTCGGGAATTGAGGATCACTGTCATGGTATGGTTCTAAAAGAGGACAGCTGCCCTTCTGGAGCCCACCTCTTTGGGGGCAGGCTTGTTCTCTGTATTTATGACTGGAAACATGGTCTAGTACTTCCTGTAAAGATTGTGGGTTGTCCTCTAGAAATATTTCCCAATCATCACACCATTAATTATTACAGCACTCTGGGTTCAAGTCTGTCTAATTCTCTGTCACAGTATTCTGAAAATGTAAAATTTTAAAAAATCATCTTTGGTTAAAAGTAGCTATCCTTTTCCTGCTATTTTAAAGCTATTTCTGTGGGATTGAGACTACTCATGGTATTAACTTGCTCAGTGAAAACACAAATGACAACAGTAAGGTTTGCACAGAAAGTTAAATTTGGGTTGGAGTTGTCACTCAGAGGTCAGGTGTGTGCTTAGCACATACAGCCCTGAGTTCAGACACAGCACTGAGAAAGAAAAAAGTTAATTTTTTTCCAAATATGTTTATCTTCTTAATTTATTCATGTTGTAAAAAGATGTCCACATCTCACTGCCAAAAATGAAAGAAAAGACCATTGTTGAATGATTAGATGTAACAATTCCAGTTACAGTAGATAAAGGGAAATATTTTTGATGGATTATTTTTTAGACAATTGCCTTTCCTTTAAGATATTTGATACAATATAGTAAAAAATAAAATACGATAATATCAATAACTGCACTGGAGAGGCAGCAAATCTCCAAAAAATAATCCATTTAAAATTTATTTTATTAATAAGGTTAATCTGCAATCTCAGTTGATTGTATTTTCTTCATAGCCAAAATAGTTTCAGTAGCAATTTTTTTAAATGGGACGTTAAAATGATAATGGTTCTCTAGAAGTGTGATAGACCTGGCTGTCAGAGGACCCTTCAGAAAAGAGCTGGCGTGTTAGTGCATTGATGGCATTTTTAACACTTGTTCCATACTACAGTTAAACTACATGGACTTGAATTTTTGGTGTACCTTTATGGAGACAAAAACTAAATTAAACTAAAAGAAAGCAGATATGTGAAACCATTAAAAGCTGTGTTAAAATTCCTCAGTGTAAGGAATTTTGGGAAGCTGCATTTTCACAGACGAAGGAGGAGGTACCTCAGAGGAGGTACAAAATTCTGTTTGTCTTTTTTTCCCTTAACTTTAATGTCTAAGGCAAAATTCAGAAAATAGGATGGTCCACAATAGCTTGAAAATTGCTAGTGAGGTTGGCCATTTTCAAGTTTTTCTAGAATAATTAAGGGAAAGTCTGTTTGAGAAGTTTGGCTTCAAGTTTTTATTTTATACCATTCAAGACAAAAATGTATGTTGTCTACACACTACTGCTAGATTCTTGTCTTTAAAATTTTGTTTTGTTTTCTTCTTTGGTTTTTGAGACAGGGTCTCACTATGTAGCCCAGGCTGGCCTCAAACTCAGGGAGATCCTCCTGCCTCTGCCTTCAAAAGTGCTGGAGTTACAGGCATGTACTCCACGCCTGGCAAAAGTTATTTTTAGAAATGACTAAAAATATACAGAAAACGGCAGATACCCACTTTATTTGGAGAAACTTCTGGATAGATGAAGACTCAAAAATGTTTAAATTTACTATTTTGAGTATCAGTAGCAGCCAGATACTGAGTCTTAAGTGTACGTGTTAACGTCTGAGTCTTAAATGTAAAATAATTGACCATATCCGGAATATGTAAGTTTTAGTGCCTTTGTGGTTAGGAGGGTTCTTAAGATTGTTTGTATAATTAAGGCACAGAATTGTCTGTGAGGTCTTGAATTTGGGTGAAATATAGTGGATGAATGTAATGAAAGGATGAGGTATAATTGCCCAAGTCTCTACATTTAGAATTGTAAAGTGGAGTGTAACATACTTGGGGCCTCCAGTCACTGGAGTCGTGACTTACCTTTCAGTGACTTTGAGGTGCCAAACACAGTTTAGACTTAAGGTTAAACCACTCATTGCTCAAGTCATTGGTATGCTCAGATATTTAGATATTTTTAAAAATAAATCAATAGGTTAGTCCATAGGGAACAGCAAGTTATGGATATATTAAGAAATGGATGCACAAAGCCCTGGGCTTAGTCCCTAGCAATACACATGAAAGAAGGAAGGAAGAAAGGAAAGAAGGGGGGGGGGAGGCAGAGAGGGCGTGGTGGTGCATGCCTGTAATCCCAGCATTTGGGAGGCTGAGGCAGGAGGAGTGCTATGAGTTTGAGATCAGCCTGAGCTGCATAGTTTAAAACCAGCCTGGACTGCAAACTGAGACCCTGTCTCAAAAAACCAACAAAACAAAACAAAGAGAAAAACATGTTTTAGGTTATAGTGCTATGTGTTGGTATCATTGAGTATAACACAGCAGAACAAATATAATTATGGCATTTTATTGTTTGCAGCAAGTAAGTTTTTCTATGGCCTTTGTACCTAAAAAATACTGTTTTCTTTTGGGTTGAGAGGTTAGCTTAGCTCAGTGCCATGACCCTGGGTCCAATTCTTAGCACCAAAAAAAAAGAGTTATGGGCTTCCTCACACACACACACACACACTTTTCTGTTTGCAGTTTAAAAAGAAGAATAAATCAAGTATTAACTGAGGGTTAGTTGACCCTGTAGCCAAGGACTTAGTTGAAGTTTTCCGTTTTGGGGGGACAGGCTCTTGCTCTGTCCCACACTGGCCTTGAACTTGCTGTGTAGCTCAGGCTGACCTTGAATCATGATCTCTGTCTCAGCCTTCCTGAATGCTGAGATGACTGGAGCCACCATGCCCATTTTTTTAGTTGCAGATTTTTTTCCTATCAGGTACTAGATACTTTGCACAGAGCTATACCCTTTTCCTTTCATCTTAGCCCTTTTTCAAAAATCATTTTTATTTTGAGACAGGGTCTTGCTGTCACTAAGCTGCTCATGTGCAACCCTCATGCCTCAGCCTCCTACAGTGGCAGGTAAACCACCACAGCACTTCTCCTAGGTGAAGACTTTTCAAAACTGTACCAGACCCACAGTTTACCATTGCTTCAGGACAGGAATGCAGTTTAGTAGTGCTAACAAACTTCGGGAAGAGTACAGTGAGTGTGAGACTGCTATGGGAATTTGCCTAATGGAGTCTTGTATTTGCAGACTTTCAAAGAATTAGATATTTATGTTTAATAACTGTTAGTCCTCTATATCCAGTTTACAAAGTTGCTCTTACAAGTAAGTCTTTTCATGCTGCCTCTTTTCTCCCTAGCTATTTTATTTTTCTATTTTATTTTATTTTGGTGCCAGGGATTGAACTCACGAGCTCGTGCTTGTCAGGCAGGTGCTTACACCGCTGAGTTAAATCCCCAGCTCTTACCTAGTCACTTTAATTTGACTGTACTTTTTTTTTTTTTGGTACCAGGGGAATCGAACTCTCAACCTCTCACTTGCCAGGCAGGCATTGTGCCACTGAGCTACATCCCTGTCCCTGGCTGTACTTTTTAAATCATGCCATGTATTACGATAACATTAGGCCATCTTCTGTCACCTTTGAGCACATTTTGAATGAAAATAATTTATGTGCTAAATTAGGGTAAATTAGATTAATGAACTATAAGTTTGGTTTATTGTTTTAAAATGCCTTATCCTCCCAAAAAAGAAAAGAAAGTCGAATGCATTAGTCTCATATGGAAAAATGTACAGCAGTACCCAGACTGAACAGAAGTAGCAAGAACTTCCCGTTCTGTGGATGGTGAGACATTCCTTTCTCCTGCCCTCTTACTGGTACGTTTACATCACCAGTTACTGTACAGCTTTAATCACGGTATAAGCAGTATTATTAAACTGAAGGTACGAGTTACAGGCAGTGTCACACTGTCACTGATGCCTTTTCTAAAGTTACCTGTATGCTGTTTATTTGGGGACTTTGTATTGGGAGGGGCTGCTGAACAATTCTCTGACCTTTCAGAGAGGTTTACAAACTGTAGATTTCCCTGTGAAGTCCAATTTCAGATGAGTTTGTGTATATAAGATGTTTAGTATTTTGTTGACATTTTTAATTTCAGTGTTAATTTAACGAAGTGTTTACTTTAGGAATAAAGCAAAACTAACCTTCATCCAGTAATGAAAATAGTATGATTGGAAAATCTGCTAATTGGGCTTTAAATGAGTGATTGTTTTATCCTAAGTATTTCATAGACTTTGCATGATATAGTGCTTTGGATTCCAAAGCTTAAGGTAAAACACCATATTCATTGTTAACAGAAGCCTTTTAGCCTGTTCACCATCACACACTTTTTTATATGACTTATGTAGTTCTAAATGCTGTTTTTCATTCTGAATGAAGTAAACCTCTTTTAAACAGCACAGCCTAACTTTATAACCAGACAAATGACCATTAAAAATAATCCCTCCAGGCCAGGCATGGTGGTGGACTCCAGCAATCCTAGCGTTCAGGAAGTTGAGGTAAGAGGATCCCCTCTGAGTCGGAGGCCAGCCTGGGCTACATAGCAAGTTCAAGGCCAATTTGAATTACACAGCAAGACTCTTTCTAAAAAAGAAAAAAAAAATGGATATTTCATCCAGAGTCTGAGGTAGGATGATTGTAGTTTTGAGACCAGCCTGTGTTCAACTGAGTAAGACCCTGTCTCAAAAGTAAACACGGTAGATGGAACTGGCTGCTCCCTGGGTTCAGTCCCCAGCACACTCCCCACCCCTGAGAATACTTCAGAGCTGGGCTGCTGGTGCTTTCCTGTAGTTTGTAGCCCAGCTCTTCTGGGTGTATATGAGCCCAAGGGTTTGAGATCTGCCTGGATAACATAACAAAGATTCTTTCTCAAAAAAACCCCCCGATATAATTCTAAAAATCTAAATTTACCAAAATTATTTTATGAGGAATCCTACATCTAGTTTACCAATAGTGGGTGCTTAATATGAGGCTCACTTTGGGGAAAAGTTTAAATTGGCCTTCTTACTTTAATCAGCTTTAAAGCAAGAAATTACTTTAGCTACTGAAAGCTAAGGATACCATCATAAAAGGAAATCTTGAGAGCATTTTCCCTCCAAAAACAGGATGTTATGTAAAGACTTACACTCTCACATTAACAAGTATAAAAAACAAGTTTAAATCTGACCTTTGTAGGATTCTCTGTAAAATTCTGAGTGGTGAGTGTGAGAAAAGCAATCTTTTGCTTGAATTCTGATGGAAGAGCTGAACGCCTTTCAACGAATATGAAAAATTCATTGGAAAGTTTAATGTACATACATTTTAAGACTCTCAGTTACCTGGACAGCAAGCACTGTTCTCCTATGGGCCAGATAATGGGAGTATTCTGTATCTGAATCATGCTATATTTTAAATCAGGACATCACTTAAGTATTAATGTTGTGTGTACAAAATTTTGTTTTGGAATTTTTTTGGTTTTTGCCTAAATAAATGGTATAAATTTTATGTAAAAGTGTCTGTCTGTGTTCATTCTGGACATTTGCTTTAAAGCTCAGTATTAAGGAAAGCTTCAGATTGCTCAGGGATCACCTTGTAATAGTTGCTTTCTGGAAAAGGCCTGTAGTTTCCTGGACAAGTTTGTAGTACAGGGACAGCATTCATTCATTTCATTAAGTACCTGCTGGGGACCATGTAATTGTCAGAGCATATTTAATTTATAAATCCAGGGAATTTAATGGAGAAGAATACATGTTCAGTAAGAAGAGAAATGTTAGCCCACAGACTGCACACCTAGGAGACAGTTTAAGATTTCTTGGAGAAGATACCTGGGTTGACATTCACTCAAATAGATAATTAGCTGGAGTAATGCATGTTATTTAAATGCATTTAGTCAAGGGGACTGTCCCCTCCCCCAAAAGGTACATGTGATTTTACTTCCTGAACTTTCATTTTACAGTTAAAAACAATAGGTAAGATAAGTGCTCACATCACAGCAATTTAGTGACAGACCACACTACAATTCAGTTCTCAGCTCCAAGTTTCCAACACAGCGGGCCCCACCTCACCATGTTCTAGCATGGTAGCCTGAGATTTCTGAGATCTCAGACGGTACACAATTCAGCAGCAAATGAATGCTGCAGGAAAGAATGTATACGGCCTTACTCTGTAGGTCCTAGAGACCTGGTAAATGGTCGCTACAGTGGGGCATGCCAGGCTTGGTGGCGCCCAGCACTCAAGAGGCAGGGGCAGGAGGGTCACTGCAAGTTTCAGGCCAGTCTGAATTACATAGTGAGAAGCTGTCTCAAAAGCTGGGCGTGGTGGTGCAGGGCTGTAACCCCAGGATTTGGGGTGTCTGCTGCCAACACTGGAGAGGCTGAGCAGGAGCTTCTGGAGGTGGTAAGTCACAGAATGGCTTTAACACTGGCCTTGGCTCCGTAGGGAGACCCTGTCTTCAAAACAAGTCACTACAAAAATACTCCACTAGGTGTGTGAGGGTGGCTGTAGGGTTTCTAAATGTTATTTTATTGTTTTGTTTTGTTTGTTTTTGAGACAGTCTCACTGCAGTTCATGCCTTGAACTCACTGTAGTCCAGGCTGGTCTTGAACTTGTAGCAATACTCCTGCCTCAGCCTCCCAAGTGCTGCAATTACAGGTGTTATAACTTTTATTTTTCTTTATATTGTCTGTAAATCACTCAATAGTAATGTATTATTATGGACCATACATAAAGAGGAAGTTTTATTTTATTTTATTTTTTGTCTCTTTGAGGGACCTTTGCTATGCAATTCTCTTTGCTATGCAGTTCAGGCTGGCCTTGAATTTGCTTTGTAGTGAAGATTGGTTTTGAATTTGCAGCAATCCTCCTTGCTAGCCTCTCCTGGGATTATAGTTGAAGGTAAATTTCTTTGGCTAATATTTAACCAAACGATTTGTTGAGCTGTTATACATAATATCACTTAAAATAATTGAGGGTGAGGGCAAAGCCCTGTGAGAGGCTTCAGCTAGTTGTAGGCCCTGGGTGCAAAGCCTAGCCCTGCCTCCAAAAATAAGGTCTTCATTCTTATTTTACCACTTGTAGTTTTGTTATGGTGAGCAACTTACGTGTTTTCCAGAGAAGGTCTTCTCCTTACTCTTTTTATCTATTTCACATTTTCTTTCTTTTGTCTTTTTGAGACGGGATCTCGCTATCCAGTTCAGGCTGGCCTTGAGCTCACTTTGTGGCCCAGGCTGGTCTCAAACTTGCAGGGATCCTCTAGCTCAGTGCTGGATTCCAGGCGTGCTCCAGCACGCCTGGCTCTGCTGTTCATTTTAATCACTTTTAAGCCCAGCACTCTGGGCAGGCTGAAGCAGAAAGACTGAAAGTTCAAAGCTAGCCTAGGCAGTAGAGGATTTAGCAAGATCCTGTTTTAAGGAAAAAACAAAACAGAACCAAACCACTGGTGATGTTGCTCAGTGGGAAAGCCCTGGGTTCAATTTCTGGTACCTCAAGTAAATAAATAGATAATAAATAGTTCCATAGCAGATAAACTGTAGTTTAGGATTTTTAATCGATTTGCATCTTCTGTCAAGTGCTATGGTAAGGGACCTATAATTTAAAACACCACTAGGTATCCAATAGATTCCAATGATGACTTAGGATTCCAATGTTGCCCAGAAATACATTCAGCAAGTCCTCTCTTTGTATTTACTCAGCTAAATCTTGAAGCTAACTATTAGCTGTGCGTGTAGCACATTCTCATCCCAGCACTCTGGGAGGACAGCAAATCCCCGGCCAATCTGCATGGTTTAGGGAGAGTATTCAAGTACCCAGTCCGGGGGTGTACGAATGTTTGAAGTCTGGGAAAGGAAGAATCAGGATAAAAGAGGCAGCCAGTGAGGTAGAAGGGCTGGGTGGCACACACCTGTAATGTCAGCTACTCGGAAGGCTGACGCAGGAGTCCACATACTCAAGGTCAGCTGGACAATCTGGTAAGATCCTGTTTCAGAATGAACAAATAAAATGGGCTGAGGGTGTGGCTCAGTAGCAGGAACACTTGTGAGGTCCTGGGTTCAATTCCCAGGGCAGAAATTAAAAAAGAAATGGTGTGGGGGGCGGACTGGGGGTGGAAAGCGAGCTGTGTTCTGGAAGCATTTAAAATATATACAGTATTCAATTCTGCAAGGCCAACGAGCTTGTCCTCTGAAGTGTTCCTGCCGGCAACAGGAACGCGCTACACGGGCCTCTCGCGGTGGGTGTGGGGTTGAGCGCAGTAGTCCAGGGAGCAGCTGGACGCCGCCGGGAGGTCAGCGCGGGGGGCCGCTTGGGCAGGCGGGGGCGGGGGGGCGGGGCCGGGGGCGGGGTCTGCGGCCGGAGCCCAGGGCGCCTGCGCGCGTCTGTCCGGGCGGGCGGGTGTTTCAAAAGCCCTGCGGGGCGGGCGGGCGGCCGTGCGCGGCCCAGCGGGCGGAGGAGCGCAGCTTCCACCTTCGCGCGCGTCTCCGCCGCCCTCCCGGGTCACCATGGTCTACTTCTTGCACCCGTCGCAGGCGCCCCGGAACCTCGTGCCCCCCGACGCCGGGAGGGACGCGCAGGGCTGGCGCGTGGCGCAGGTGAGGGCTCGGGCTCGGGCTCGGGCTGGGGGCGCAGTGCTCCGCCGGGAGCCCGCGGTCGGCGCGGGAGGTGGACGGGACGCGCCGGCCGTCCAGCTGGCGGAGCGAGCCGGGGCGCGTGACCTGGGTGCTCTGAGGCTTCCTCTGCGGTTGGTCGCACCTGGCGCCCGGGCGGTAGCCGAGAACCCTCGATGACCCCGGACCGCCGGACCTGGCCGGTCCTCCGCGTGGGTCGCGGGCGCGAGGGCCCCGCGCGCCGGATGCGGGGGCTCAGCTCCGGGCAGATCCCGCCCTTCCCGGGCTCAGCTGTGCGAACCACGGAGGACGCGCGCTGGGCGCCCACGGATGCGCACTGCGCGTTTCCAAGGCAGCGGGCACCCCAGTCCTCTGGGCCTTGCGCAGCTCTCTTTACTGACGTAGGAAGATGGAAACCTTGCCATTAAGTTGATTGACTCCGGACCTTCCCTGTTCTGAGGTCTGTCTCTGTCAGCTACACTCAGGATCCATTTAACAAATCGGAGCCAGGCGTGGTGGCACATGCCTGTAATCCCAGCACTGGGGAGGCTGAAGCAGGACGATCACTGTGAGTACGTGGCTAGCCTGGGCTACTCAGTGAACAAGGTGAACTGCGTAGCTAGACCCAGTCTCAAAAAGAAAGGAAGAGGCATGGTGGTTCATACCTGTAATCTCAGCATGTGGGAGGCCGAGGCAGGAGAATCCCCCACGAGTTGAGTCCACCCTGAACTGCAAAGCGAGAACCTGTTGCAGAAAACCACAAACCCCATTAAAAAAAAAACAAAACCCCAGCAAAACAAAAAAGCTAGTGAACATCAACCCAGAGTTAGTACAGGGGGAAGGAAGCAGAGCATTTTAAACTCAGCTACACTGTCCGCCCAAAAAGTATGTTTTAAAGTCCAAACAGACTTGTGTTATATGTAGAAATACATAAAATTGGCTTTTGTGTTTTGATTTTATATCTACCAGTCTTGCCAAAGTTTTCTTTCTTCGTCTCGTTTTTTTAGGTAGTTGGTTTTCTGTAGTCACCTCATCTGCAAATAAAGTAGTTGTACTTTAATGTTTTGTGTTTTTGAGACAGGGTTTTGCCATGCAGTTCATTCAGTCTGGTCTTAAACTCACTTTGTAACTCTTGGTAGCCTTGAACTAGCGGCCATCTTCCTGCCTCACCTTCCCCTGTGCTGGGGTTACAGGCGGTGCCGCCACACCTGGCTTCACTCTCTACTTTTAATGTCCTTCTAAAAAATCTGCATTTTCCAATACTTTTTCTATGATACTAAGCAAGTGTGTTGAGAAGAGACATCTTTGTAATGTTCTAGATCTTTCTTTTTACATTTAAAAAACTTTTTTTATACCAGAAACCAAATTGCTGACCTTGCGCTTGCCAGGCGGGTTCTCATGCTGCTGAGCTAAATCCCAGGCCTCCTTTACTTATTTATTTACTGTTACTGACGAACAGATAAGAGTCTGACTAAGTACCCAGGCACGGCTTGACATTCCTTTCTGCCCTCCTGTCTCAGCCTCCTAAGTATCTGGAATTACAGACACCTGGAAAAAAGGGAATCTGTTTATTATTTTGTGATGGATGATCACAAAAATTTTGTGATGGACCTAGTTTCTTTATTTTATTTTACTTTATTTTTTTGTCTTTTTGAGACAGGGTCTTGCTATGCAGTTCAGGCTGGCCTTGAGCTCACTTTGTAGCTCAAACTGGTCTGGAACTTGCAAGGATCCTCCCACCTCAGCCTCCCGAGCCTGAGTTTGCAGGCATGTGCCCCACTCCTGGCTACGTTTTCTTTAAATTTGATTTTGGCTGTAGTATTTTGATAGAGATGCTTTCTCACATTGAGGAAGTTTCATTATGTTCCTGGTTTGCTAAGAGTTTAAACTCATAAACGTGTTAAATGTATTCAAATGCTTTTTTGGGGGGATCATTTATAATAAAGATCATCACTTTTTCTGTTAATGTTTTATCTTGACTTTCATTAATTGTGAACGTATATTTCAGGGATATACCCCATTTTGTCATTGATGTGTCAGTTATCAGGTGACACAGGATTCTATTTGCTAATTGTTTTTCTTTTTCAAAGCACTGAGGATTGACTCCATCTGTGTACCACAGGGCTACATCCCCAGCTTTTTTTTTTGATGTTATGTTATTTGAGACTGGGTCTTGTCACTGTCTCACTGTCTCTGGAGAAGAGGATTGTAGACATTCCACGCCCAAATTTTTAAGTTGGCCTGCTACTGTCTTCATTTAGTTTTGGTTGGTAAATTTTAGTGAATTTTTCAGTGTGATCCTTTATCCCGTTTGTAGAGGTTTTGGTATGTTCATTTCTCAAAGTGTGTAGTTATTACTAGAGTTAATGTTAGCAGCTGTAGAAAGCTTCCTTAGGGGCTGGGGATTTAGCTTAGGGACATAAGCTCCTGCCTTGCAAGTACAAGGTCGTGAGTTTGATTCTGGGTCGTCCCCCTGCCAAAAAAAGAAAAGAAAAAAAAAAAAGCTTCCCTGGAATAGGTACATTTGGTCCAAGAATCACATCATTTGAAGACAGCACTGATGGGCAAACGGAATTGAGAACTGGAGTACTAAGTTGGTGTTACCTTTTACAGTAGACCTGTTTACTTTGGTACTATTACTAGAGAAGCGATTTTAAAAAATGTTTCCCTCTTTATTAGTATATGCTTGCATTACATAATAAATACGTTCATTGTGTGGAATTGGTATATGTCGCATCTTGATCCTTTTTGCCTAGAGAAGCAATTTCACAGATGGCTATAAAAGTTGTCTAATTTTATATTTCCTTTTCTGCACGGTGACAGACTTTACCAATTAAATTGTATAGCCAAATAAACAGACATTGTTTAACTATAGTATGTTTTAACTGCTTGAAATAAATTATTTGCAACCAGTTGTGGTGGTTCACACCTGTAATCTCAGTTCTCAAGAGGCTAGGACTGGAGGATCCGATTATTTTCTCTATTGGTTTAGCAGCCTTGCGTCTGGAAAAGCAGCAAAATCCAGTATGCCAGCTCAGGCTGCCTGTAAGATTCATTGCTCTCCTGTTCCTAGTTAGTCACGAAGGTGGAACTCCATAAACTGGGAAGTAATAAATAAAAAAACTATGTGAGCTATCACCACACGCTCCTGTGCTAGGAAAGCATAGTCATGAGGTAGGGACTGGCTTGTTTTGAAAAAAGGGCAGATATCCCCTTAGCTAAAATAACAAAGCAGTCTGTAATAGACTTGAGTAGAGATGGTTCTGGTCCACACGTAATTCTTCTGAAACTGGCTGATGCAGAAGTATTCTCCTAACAGAATGTCCTTTCTTTAGAAACTGACTTGTTCCTAGTCTCTAAACAAATCTATTTGCTTGGATTTACCTTCTCTGCCCTCACTGGACCGCCATTAATTTCTGCCAGCCTGCCTGGGAATAGCCTGTCATTAGGACTGCACCAGATAGATGCACTACACAGAGGCATCTTGTATTGGAATTCTGTGCTTGACGATAGCAGAGGAGAACCCACAATTAGTCCACCAATGCAAATACTGTACCTGTCATTCCACATTGTCATAAAAATAGTACCGTTTGTTGATTACTCCTTCCTGACAGGGAAATTCATAGCTGCAAAAAAATGTTTTTGCATTTCTAGAGATTGAACCCAGAGCATCAAGCCTTCAGGCAAGTCTACCACTGAGCTAACCGAGCACTTTTTAAAAAAATTTTTTAAATTTTTTGTCTTTTTGAGACAGGGTCTTGCTGTGCAGTTTGAGGTCTCGAACTCCCATTGTAGCCCAGGCTGGTCTCCAGCTCGCAAAGATCCTCCTACCTCAGCCTTCCAAGTGCTGGAATTACAGGCATGCACCACCACAGCCAGCACCTGAGCCCTTTTGTTTGGAGACAGTCTTCCTGCCTTGCTCAAGCTGGCCTCAGATTCAGATTTGTGGCTTGTGATCCTGCTGCTCAGCCTCCTGAATAACTGTTATAGATGTGTGCTGCCATGCTGAACAGCGTTTTTGTTCAGTTTCAAGACATTGCCGTGCTTACTAATTCCCAAGATCCAAACATCACGTATTTGTAGCATTTGGGACTAAACCCACTCGGGAGAGAAGTTGCATTTAGGATGAATTAAGTTTATTATATTTTTGAAATTTGCCAGAAAATGTGAGATAATGTATACTTAAGTCCAGGCAACAGGAGCAGTGAAGAAAAATGCTTAGTAAGACCATGCAAAGCAAACCCAACTCCCAGTGCAGGTGTCCGCCCTGTGCCCATGGTTTGTTACGTGGGAATTTGGATTCGCTTTACAGAGAGCAACTCAAACGTGAAGGCCTCCTGCCCAGCCTCCTGAGGAGTGGGGATTACAGGATTATGCCCCATGCCTGGCTTTAGAGATTTTAATTTCTTTTTTTTTTTTTTTTTTTTGTCTTTTTTGTTTTTATCCGTACCGAGGATCGAACTCACGACTGCCTGCTTGCAAGGCAGGTGCTTATGCCACTGAGCTAAATCCCCAGCCCCTGAGATTTTAATTTCTTTAAGAGAAAGTTATAAGTTACATCTCTTTCTTTGGGAGAAGAATTTATATAGAACTGCTTATATACTTTTATACCTATAAAAGGACTAGTGCTTCACTAGGTGTGGCAGAACAAGCCTGCAATGCTGACTGGGGCCAGAGGAGCTTGAGTGTGAGGCAGGGAGTTCACTTTCAGGGCGGAGGCAGGGGAGAGAAAGAAGAGTTGGTAACACCTTTCAGGGAGTTTGTCTATTTCATCTATGTAATCACGTTTATTGGCGTTCACAGCATTCCTGTACAGTCCTTTCAGTGCAACATTATGTAGTGCTGCTCTGGTTCGTTCCTGGTGTTGGTAATTTTGTTTTTCTCCTCCCCTTCTGATCATCCTTGTCCTTGCAGTGCTGTGATTTTTCCTCACTCATTTTTGTGGTAGTGGGGATTGAACCCAAAGACTTTAACCACTGAGTTAC